CTTGGGTTGAAATCAATCTCTTCCATTTACTATCTCCATGAGCTGGGAAAGTTCCTGATCTCTCTTTGCCTTAGTTTACCTATTGATAAAATGGGGCTCATAACAGTATTGACACGAGAAACCTCCAGACCTGTAGAGAATATTTAGCTGAATTTATCTGAGCCCAAATGATGGCAATTTCTGGGAAGCAAGATCTCAAATGCTCCACAGAATGACAGTTTTGTAGTTTCTTTTATACACCTAGAACTAAGGAGGGAACATAAGGAAGTTTGCACTAAGAGAGAAAGCAGGGCTGGGATTGGATAACAAGATAATTAACAAGATTATGTGCTTTCCTGAGGGTGGTTGGCTTATTTCAAAGATGTGTTCAGCAAGAAGCACAAGAACAGTGGACAGGGCCTGTTTAAGGCCAAGATAAACCTTTTACTAAAAAAAGTAATATGCTTTAAGTGTGGCTGCTCATCACGACCTCCCCACTTAGGAATTTAAGACTATATCTCCGTGTAGAACTCCTTTTTGTCCACAATAATTTCTAGATCATAGGGTAGTTTTGAGGGAAAAGATTCGTGTATAAAGTGCTCAGAAGAATGCACGTGTACCTGCTTTATATAAAAGTAGCTAATATTTTTATCAGTGGAACAGAGTATCTTTAACGGACTTCAGAAATGAGAAAAACTCTGTTTTAGGAGAAGAGTAATCAATAACACTAAAAGTTTTTAGTTTCCCATTCAGTGGAGATACCAGATAGTGTGGATTGGTGTTGCTGATGGAGACAGGGTCAGGCTCTTAGAACTGAACAGCCTACACAGAGTTGAGTGAAGCAAGAGAGATTCATTAAGAAAAGTACACTTCCCGAAATATGGGAGCGTGCCACCCCTGACCAGAGAATGGCCCCCTTCCACCAAAAGGGTGCAGGCTTTATCGGGTCCCATAATTCTCCTTGATTGCCCACACGGGGAGGAAACTGTAATGCTAATTTAGGACACTGAAGCAACGGTACAACTGAAGCTCTAGTGTCAAGTGCAGCGACTTGGTGTCTCAGAAATCAGGATGCTGACTGATGACAGCTGCGCTGTCTCAGGACTTCCTCATTTCTCTTCTATCTCCTGTCTCATTGGGACTCTGGGGAAAAAGACTTCCCTCTGCTCCTCACATACATCTGATCTCCCACCAGGCCTCCTGGTTCCTTTTATGGGCCAGACCCTTCAGAGTGCTGTTTGCTCAGCATGGAAGAGCACAAAGTCTAGACTCAATAAATATTGAATGATTCAGTAGATGAATTTGTTTTATTTTTAGTAAACTTGCTACTGTTTAATGGGGGATGGGTGAGAGGGGTGGTCCAGCGGGAATGGGGTCAGGGTGTCAGAAGCGAATCCCCCTGTGGGATAAGTCAGCTCTGGCCTCTTGGATCTGGCTCTGCAGCTCCTGGGTGGCATCCTCGCATCGTGAAAAGTTGCCACATGATAGCACACAGTGCCCAGTGCATAGCAGCCAGCAGATACCAGCAAATAGGCCGGCAGTGGCCACAGGACCTTCTGGCAGGACCAAGGCAGCTCCAAGCCTAGGGCCCCAGTGGTCAGAGCCGCCCAGGCAGAGCCCATGACAGCCAGTGCCCAAAGCCACTGTGCTAATTTTGTCATGGTTGCTCTGCCCTGAGTTGCCCAGTTGTGCCAAATTTGGTATTATTTTAAGTGGAAATAACATCTAAATCCCTGGTAACCTATGAGGCTGCCATGTGGGGTGGGCAGTCATGCCCCAAGTCTACAACTTCTTTAGTAAAAGGCTAAGCCAGACCTATCTACTTTTCTTGAGCATCTAGGCTAACTCATATTTGAAATGCCAGATGTAATCCTCTTTTCCAGACCTCTCAAAGGCATAACACCCACAAGAATCTTGTTAACCCTACTGCACACAGTGCAGCCAAGAGGGGGGGCCCAAAAAAGGGATTTGGAATGGGGTCCAGAACTCAGGGTATCTAGGAAATATTAGAAAGACATATAAGATGTCCTCACCCCTTCCCCCTCAACAGGTGTGAGTTGGGGGAAGGGACAAAAGGAGCAGGGCCACTGAGAGCTGTTTTGTACAGCAACAGCTTTGCAGCTAACCTCTGGCATGGTCATTTAACATATCTATAACCTTTAACTGGTTGCATAGATATGTTAAATAGCTGTGGCCATGCTTTGAGCTAGGGAGAAGGGAGGGACTTCCACCCAAGATGTAACTGGGAGGTAGGTCTCTCGAGTTACAGCACCTGCATGGGAGCTTGGAGATGATTGGCTCTGTGACATGGAACCATACCTGCCCAGACTCACGATAGCAGCCCAGTAACCTTGAATCATACAGAAATGCTGACAGGTGTAACTGATTGTGGGAGGAGTCGGAAATGGGGGTACAGAGGAAGACTGGCGTGGGGATTTAAACCCAGACTCAGCAGCCACTGGGGGAGAACCACATGCAGCTTTGCAGAGAGAACCATGAGGCTTCACCAGAGGGGGGACCCCCCCCCCATAGCTTTAGTAGAGAGAATCACCATGCGGCTTTAGCAGAGAATTGCCACTAGGCTTTTGGCCAGAGCAACAACCCCCACTCCCTACAGCTTTGGTGGAGAGAAGAACAACCATGCCCTTTTGGCCAGAGCAGGGACCCCTATAGCTTTGGTAGAAGAGGACCACACGGCTTTGGGGTGCTCCCTTTGGCCACATGGCCTGGGAAGCAGGAGAGACTTTGCCTGGAAGAAGGGTGAAAGAACGCTTGCCAGTAGGCCATGAGAAGGTGCCTCATGGCTTTGGATTAATTAGAGATCCTGCCTGGATGGTGACACAGTTGACAGTGACAGCGGCCTATAACATGGACACCTACTTCTTTTCTGGAGTGATGGTACCCCCAAATTAGGGAAGGGGAAAAGGAAGCACTGTGGGTGTCTGTGGGTATCCAAAAGGACTTTGGTATTTTAATGGGGACATTGAGTCACTACTTTAAGTCTGTATAGCTTTAAATAAACCTTTCCTTTCCTTTTCACAAATCTCTGGCATTGAGAGACGTCTTTCCTCTGGCAGTCGACAATTGAGCCCAGTAGGGGGTCCTTTTGGTAGTAGTATACCATCCTCAGACCCCTGTGTTCTGTAACACTTTTTGGTGTCCCCTGAGTGGATCAGATAATCGCCCCCACCCCGGCCTGTGTTCTGTTACGCTACTGTATTCCAATCCCCACCTTACTTTCTCCCACTTTCACATAACCTCCAACTCCTCCCTTATTCCAAATGTATAAAAGAAACTTCAAAACTGTCATTCTCTGGAGCATTTGGGATTTTGCTTCCCAACATATGTTGTCGGTTTGGCTCACATAAACGCTTATAATAATTCTCTGTAAATTCGGGCATTTCTTAAGTCAACAAATGTAAGAAAACATGACCAGGATAAAAGGTACAGAAAAAAGGAGCCAACAAATACAAAATATTGGGAGAGGTAACAGGAGCCTTTGGAGTAAAGTTTTAAGAAGACAGGTAGCCCTGGCTGGTGTAGCTCAGTGGATTGAGCACGGGCCTGTGAAGCAAAGGGTCGCTGGTTCGATTCCCAGTCAGGGCACATGCCTGGGTTGCAGGCCAGGTCCCCAGTAGGAGACCCATGAGAGGCAACCACACATTGATGTTTCTCTCTCACTCTTTCTCCTTCCCTTCCCCTCTCTCTAAAAATAAATAAATAAAATAAAATGAAAAAGAAGACAGGTAAATACACTCTAAATAGCTCAGAGGCCAAGAGGGTAAGTATTGAGAGAATTACTGAATTTGGCAATCATCTAAGGAAGAAACTCTGAGAAAGCGATTTCCCCTGAAGTTGGGAGGAACAGGGGACGAGAGTAGATATTAAGAAAAATCTGTAAATTTATGTAGGCTAATTTACCAAAATATTTGATAAGGAAGAGAAGCAAGATCCATGAAAGGTGATTTTAGGGACAAACCCTGCTTTAGAGGTTTCTCTGGTAGGAGAAGAGTAAGGAAGCAATAGAGGTAAAAAACTAAGGTACAAAGAGGGAATAAAAATGAGGCTAGGTCCTGGAGACATTGTGCATTCTTATTTCTGCTGTATTACAACGCTCAGTGCTTTTCACATGCATTATCTTAACATCCCCCAGCTCTCTGTTAGATACAGCCTCTTCTCCAGCGGTTCTCAAAATTGAGGTCCCTAGATCAGCAGCATCAGCATGACTAGGAACTACCATTGTTAGAAACAGATATTCTTGAGTCCTACACTGATCTCCATAATCTCTGAGGATGAAGCAGAGCGATGTGTTTTTATATGTCCCCCAGGGGATTTTGATTCTCTCCAAGTTTCCACAACTACTGCACTCAAGAGAAAATGACAGGAAACTACTGCAAGAATTTGTAGCCACAGTCCGAGATTAGAATTTCTTCCTAAACCCTCCAGGTGGATCTATCTTCCTTGCTCTTAAGGAGGTAGTGCATGACCCCCAGCCGCCAAACACCATAGAGCAACGTCGCCCCATTTTGGACTTAGTCTGAGCTAGTTCTACCAGCCCAGCCCGGAGCAGAAGCCAGGCCAAGTGGAGGAGCCTTAACCCAACACAGCATCCACGACTCAACGCCCAAACTGCTACCAACACCCTCGCCCTGCCACGCCCTCTAGCTCCAACTTCGGCGGAAGAGGAGGGGGCCCCTGCTGGGATTAGGGATTAGGGCGAAGGTGTCCAACTTCCTCTTCACTGGTGAGGTTGACGGATTTTTGATATAACCCTTCCATGTGCTAAGAGGCCGGATGACGACGCCGGCAGAGAATAATAGGCTAGTCAAGGATAAGTGTAAAACAAATCTGTAACTCAATAATGGAATAAAATAAGGCTTGGAATTCCTGCTCCCTCCCTTTTTCTCTTTTCCCATCTCTAGCCCCAGGGAAGGGAAAAGGCGGGGGCTCAAATCCGGGAGAGGGGCGGGGCAAGACGCCAGAGGAAGAAATCTCGCGATAGGGGACCGGTGGGGCGGGGGTGGCACCTCTTCCCTCCTCCTCGCGTTAGTTCCGGTCGCAAAGGAGAGACCGCAGCAGTTGTCGCCACATCTGGAATTTCTGGCCCTTTTCTCTTCGCCTTAAATTCGGTGAGGCTTGGCGCCCTCTTGTCTGCCGTGGAGGTTGCTACCCCTCATCAACGGGTAGAGATCGAGGGAGGCAGCGGCCCTGTGCGGCGCTATGCGGGCCGGGTTTGGATGGGCCCGAGGGGAGGCTGCCGCATGAGGCTGGGCCAGGTTCGGAGCCAGTTTTCCAGGGCCGGGGCCGCTGTCTCATCGGGGAAGTCAAGGGGCGGCGGCCGGAGCCAGAACATGGACCCCAAGGGTGCGTCGCGGTGTCGGAGGCAGTGTCCGAGACAAGCTCCCCTCCGGCCCTGCCCGGCCTGGGTAACAAAGCCACCGTGGCCTCTGTTGGGTGATGTACGCGTGGGGGGTTCCGGCGGGCGGGGCAGAGGAGCCGCCACCACCACTGCGGCCGCCTCCACCGCAGCTGCTTTCGCTGGAGGGCGGGCGGATGTACGGGGCGGCTGGGCCCCCGGCGCGAAGCGCCTCGGCTCCTGTGGTCCGCTCTTTGCGGCGGACGCCGGCGACGGGGTCAGTAAAGGAGGGGCTATTGGGGATGTGTAGTCCCTGTGGCGCCTCGCTGCTGTGCCCGAGGGGATCCTGGGCGGAGTCGTGGGTAGTCTGTAGTTCTGCGGCAGGCACAGGAAGGGTGTGAATAGGAAGACCCTTGGAGGAGGCTTGGATTTGTGGGGTATGAGCCCAAGGAGGCTAGGCCCGCTGACAGTTAATTTTACAGGCGGGGGTGGTGAAGCGGTCGGTGGGGTCACAGGTACGACTTAATGGAAGGGTCCTTCAAAAGAAGGTATTCATCTTTTGACAGTGTCCCAAAATTGATGTGCACGATTGACTAGGTGGTAATCTCTGTTAGCCTTCTGTGGTGCTTAGTTAATTCAGGGTGTTGGCGAATTTGAAGAAAGAGGAAGAGACCCAAAAATGTTTATGGTGGGTGATTTGCCACCAGTCACTGGCTCTGTAAAGTCACCTAAGAAGCGTATTTCACATTACATCTTTCAATAGTTTCTTGTAGGGCAGGGGTGTCCAACCATTTGGTATCTGTGGGCCACACACAAACACTAACGAAAACTGATGAGCAGAAGAAAAGGTTTTAAGTAAATTTGCGATTTTGTCGTTTGGCTGTGTTCATAGCCATTCTGGGCTGCGGGTTGGACACCCCTGTAATGGAGGGGGAAATGCAAATTTTGAAATTCTGTTCATGAAAGCAAAAGTAGTTACTTTTGCCTGCTCAGGTATATTGTCAAGGCAAAGCTTGTGTTCAGTTGGTTTTACATGTGACTAGAACAAGATATGATGCTTTGTTCTTGAAATGAATGTCATGGCACTGACTTTTAAGGCCTCGTTTTCTTTTTCTAGGGTGTCTTTTATGAATAATCAAAAGCAGCAAAAGCCAACGCTATCAGGCCAGCGTTTTAAAACCAGAAAAAGAGGTAAATTTATGTTTTAAAAATAATCTCTCTTGAAACCTCCAGAATAACTTTTACATCTTGGTCCCTCTGGCTGGCAGTTGCTCAGTACTAAAACCTTAAGAGAAAATACCAGAAAGTAACTCAAATTTCTAGCTGATAAACCCTTACTATTTCTAAGTAATTTTATTTTAAAAATATGAGCTGAATTTTTAGGGGCAAATTTCATTTAAGCAGATTTTTGCTTGAGGGAAAAGGTTCAGTTGTAAAAAGAGTTCCTAATGTGATCACTAATTTCACCTGAACTTTGTGAAGATTCCTGAGAGAAGAATCAGACTTGAACCATGGAAGTTAATTATGGAACAGTTCATATTGTAATATTTGGTGGTTTTTTAATTAAATATTTTTCATAGGCTTAGTAAGAAACATAGTAAAATTATATGGATGACTTCTGTATTTATGGCACTTAGATGAATTTTGAATTGTATAGTGAGGCACTACTACACTAGTGGTATAAAGTTAAGTGAGATGTGGTCTCAGGTATATCTTGTATCGGGTAAAATATGTTCCCCAAAACATTTTGGTGTTGCTCAAAAGCACATACCGACCTTATTTCTTATGAGACTTTAAGGAAAAAGAGAATTGGGTCAACTAATGGCTATAAATTGTGTTTTTCTACTCCAGGTAGAGATACTTTGAGATGTATATTAAAGAATCTTTTGTAATTGTAGTGGGAAGACCAAAGAGTGATTTGTTGCAGATTCATTTACATTTAAGCCAGTAGATTTTTCTCAAGAGGAGGAACAGAAGTTGGAAAACAGAGCAGTTTAGCAATAATAGGGAAGGGTCTGTATCCTCTAGAATATGTGGATTGCTGGCATCACCTTTATTTTACTGTTAGCATCAGAAAGCAATGTCACTTCCCCACTTCCAGATTGAGATCACTCATTAGGAGATGCCCTCCTAATTCTTGATGATTGGGTGAACAACCATCCTGATTTATCTAGTACTGTATAGAATTCCCAGGACATAGGCCTTTCAGTGCTAGAAATAAGAAAGTCCTGAGGAAAATAGGGAAGAATTGGTCACCCTCATTCTGTGTGAACGTTAAGGTAATATCTGACTTAGAGAAATCAAACCCTATCATAGAATCTGTAATAGCAATTCAATAAAAGCTGTGTACCCAGGGCACTGTTCTGAGTGCTTTCTATCTTATATCATTTAATATTACCAACAATTTTATAAGATAGTTACTACTCTTAAGCACCATTTATAATAGGAAAATTTATGCATAAACAACGAAACAGTTTGCTCAGACAGTTAAACGGTGGTGATCAGGATTTGGATCAGGCATTTTGACTGGAGAGCACTTACTCGTAGCTACTAGTCTTGAATTTCTCTAGCCTTCAGTTTTCCTTTATAGTGGGAACGAAAAGATCTACCTTCCAATATTGTTACAAGGATTGAAGCAAAAGATCTACTGCAGTTTCTGTCATATATTGGATCTTTTAATAAGTGTCAAAGGAGTGGTTTTTTCTTTAAAGCATACAAAGTGTTAGGGGCATTTAGAGAAAAGAATCAACAGTTCCAGCTCCAGTGTTTGGGTAAAATTTCACTCAGAAATAAAATTTACCTGAGGTTTGGAGGTTGACCTAAATTTCAGAAAAGCCCAGAGACAATGGAGAACATTCCAGATAAAATTGTCCCCTGGTAGTAGGAACACACTAGTTTATTCAGCTAATTTAATGAGACTTATGTGAAAAGATAGTGGAAGAATAGCTATACAAGTCTGTGCTTAGGCAATCCTGCCTTAAACTAGTCCAGGGGAACTTGCACAGGACTTGTTTAGTCTACTGTGTATTTGCTAGTGTTCCAGGTCTTGGGTAATCTAGCTGTGTTTGTTTTTTCCAGCTATTGAAATAAATGAAATTGTGATGAATGTAATTAACTTATTCAGTGATTATAACTTCATAAGGTGATGGTTTCCTGGCATTTTGGTAAGCCTTTTAAAACTAAATGTTTTGGGGTTTTCCCCTCAGATGAAAAAGAGAGGTTTGACCCTACTCAGTTTCAAGACTGTATTATTCAAGGCTTAACTGAAACTGGTACTGATTTGGAAGCAGTAGCAAAGTTTCTTGATGCCTCTGGAGCAAAACTTGATTACCGCCGATATGCAGAAACACTCTTTGACATTCTGGTGGCCGGGGGAATGCTGGGTAAGTGTCTGGTTTTGTGGGAAGTGTACTATATGGAGAAGATTGTTAGAATCCAGAATATGAACTATTTGACAAATTAAAACTAATTTCAGCCTTTGTTTTTAATATGGCTACTAGAAGATTTGAAAATACATTATGTGGTTTGCATATTTCTGCTGCACTGTGCTGCTTTAATGTAACTCCTACCTTCAGCAGCTCAGGATGTCAAACAGAATGTACTGCTTAGTTATGTATATCTTCAAATGATGATGGTAATTTCATCTCCATAGCTCTTACAAGGTATTTCAAAATATTTTACAGCAATATTGTCTTGACCCTCACCGCCAAGCTGACAGAATCAGAACTCCATTAGTATATAGTATGTAGAATGGAGGCTCAGAAAGGCTTCAGTGACTTGCATGCAGTCAAATAATTAATTGCTCAGTGATTAGAACTAGGAACTTAATGTATATTCTAGTACCTAGTCAAATGAATTTTTTCATTGTATTACCAGTTCGTAGCAAGAAATGTATCTACTTACTATTCATAATACTATCAATAAGCCTATTTATAAATTTTTTTTTTAACATTTACTAAGGAGATTTTCAAACATATCTTGGGGGAGTAATGTGATGAACTTTTGATCTGTTACCTAACTTCAATAATCATTAACAACTTCATCCCCTCCTTCCCACATATTTTAAAGTGTACATCAGACATTTTAGCCATAAATACTAAAAATGTATCTAAAAAATAAATACTAAAAATGTATCTAAAAAATATTTCATCTGTGGATATTTATAGCCAGCCTCTTTGGAAGCTTGAAGGGTGGTCTTCTATGTATAAAATTACACACCAAAACCAACTTTAAACATCTCCACTTGAGTGACAGATTTGGCACTAATGATTGAATGGCTAATGCAACAAGTTCCATGGAGTTGCTAAAGTGGATTATTTTACTCCTGTAAATTGTTTCACTTTTTTCAAATTGTATTGAACCAACCTAGCTATGTTCCTACTGAGAAATTGCTTTCAAGTCTCCGTTAGAATTTTAACAATTTTATTTTATCACAGAAAGTAAGATTGAAATGATTACTAATTTTAAATGAAGGTCACTGCAAATTTTTTGTAAAATATGCCTTAGCCCCAGGTGGTACATTGGCAGATGACATGATGCGTACAGATGTCTGTGTGTTCGCAGCACAAGAAGACCTAGAGACCATGCAAGCATTTGCTCAGGTAAATAAAACTTGACATAATAATTTCAGTCAGCTACTATCCATCTCACTGATGTTTAAGGAAAAGTACTTTCGAGAGGATATAGGGAGATTTAAGGAATTTGAATTGAAGGTTTAAGACAATGCTCTTGGTGAAATATGATAAATTTAAAACTCCAAAATGTGTTGAGAAAAACGATTAGAAAAAGCTTCTCATTGAGCTAACTCAATTAGGTTGAGTTAGCTCTTCCAGTTTGTCCCTCTGGAATTAATCCATTAGAAAAAAAGTTGAACTGAAAAGGAAAATCAGTTCCCTACCATGATTTCCATCATGGAGTTATTCTGCATATAACTTTTCAAAAGGTAAATTATAGGTAGATAAGTTTACCAATCAAAATCTTACTTGAAGCTTTCATATATACCAGTAGGTATGGTTGCATTACAGTAAGCAAAGAATTCCGGTGTATCTGTTACCAATGTCATTAGGAAGGTGTAACTATTTCACGATCTTATTCTGTTAGTATTTTACAAATGGGTAAATGACTTATATTTGAGCGATAATTAGTCTTTGCTTTAATATTTGGTAGTAAAAATTTATTGCAGGGTGCTGTTAAAGTGTTAACAGTATTGCATTCATACATTGCAGGGTTTGGGGATGGACGGACTCTTCCCATGCTAGTTTAAACAGCCTATAAACATATGTAGTGAAAAGTTCACTTCTCTACTATTCTAGAGATACTATTGGAGGGATCTCATTGGCCCTAATCTAGATCTTTTTTATTAGGAATCTCTACATAGGAAGTTATCATTAAATTTCTTTACTATTCTTTCATAGGTTTTTAACAAGTTAATCAGGCGCTACAAATACCTGGAGAAAGGTTTTGAAGATGAAGTAAAAAAGGTATGAGGATCGATATGTTTTGTGGAAGACAGTAGGTTGAGGTCAAAGAATGGAATGTTAAAAGCTAATTTTGCCGCAGATTTAAGATAATTTTAAGTGTAACTGCCATTTGTACTTGTTAATCACTTCCCCTTTTCACCAATCCCCATTGGGTGACCATCAGTTTGTTCTGTGTCAGTTTATTTCTGTTGTTGGTTTGTTTATTTTTTTTTTTTAGATTTCCACATATAAGTGAAATCATATGGTATTTGTCTTTCTCTGATTAACTTATTTCACTTAGCAAAATAGCCTGTAAGTCACAGGTGGCAAACACAAAGGCCTGCAAGCCAATCCAGCCCGGCACCTTGTTTCCGCTCAGGGCAGTGCCCCTAGTTAAGGGGTAGTTACATTTATACAGTCCTAAAATTACATTTGACCCTTTGAAGGCAACTGCGAGGCTATGTGGCCCCTGGTGAAATGAGTTTGATACCCCTGCTCTAGGTCAATGCATGTTGTTGGAGGTGGTAAGATTTCATTTGGGTTTTGTTTGTTTCTTTGTTTTGGGTTTTTTGTTTTTGTTTTTGTTTATTGGCCAAGTAATACTTCATTGTATATATGTACCACAGCTTTTTTTTTTTTTACGCACTTGTCTATTGATGGGCATTTGGGTTGCTTCCATATCTTGGCTATTGTAAATAATGCTACAGTGAACATAGGAATGTGTGTATCTTTTTGAATTAGTGTTTTTGATTTCTTCAGATGAATACCCAGAAGTGGGATTGCTAGGTTCTTTTTGTTTCTTTTTCTTTTTTTAATCCTCACTTGAAGGTGTGTTTATTGATTTGGGGGGGCAGGGGAGAGACCTTCAAATGAGAGAGAAACATGGATCAGTTGCCTCCTGTGTGCGCCCCAGCCAGGTGTCAAACCCACAGCCTTTTGGTGTGTGGGGTGATGCTCCAACTGAGCCACCCAGACAGGGCTGGTAGGGTTTGGGGTTTTTTTTGGGGGGGTGGCATTTTTAGTTTTTTCAGGAGCCTTCGTACTGTTTGAGATTATTTTATTTTAAATTTTTATTTATTGATTTGGGGGGGTAGGCATTAATTCATTGTTCCTCATTGGTTGAATTTTATATGTGCCCTGACTGGGGATTGAACCTGCAACCTTGGTGTATCAAGTTGATGCTCTAACCAACTGAGCTACCTGGCCAGGGTTTTTTAGATGATTTTAGATATTTAGGTAGGCTGACTCTGAAATATAGTTTGGGGGTAAATCACCCAGTTTAATTTGCTGTACATTGTTCCTTAGCCCTGTGTTCAAACAACTGGCAAAAGCCTAAAATTCAAAGTGGGGTTTGTTCAGAAGATTAGAGGGTAGAGGACCAGAGCTAACCACATGGAAAAGAAATTTAGCATGCTTGCCATTTGAGTCTTAGATGTACTGTATATAGATGCATAGAAAATCTGGTAAAGTAACATTTATAGGGTATTAGACACTATTCTAATTGTTAACTCATTTACTCTTTACAAAACCCCTGTGAAACAAGTTTTATCAGCATTTTACATATGAGGAAACAGGCACAGAAGTTAACTTGCTAATGAGTATTATACCTGAGGCAGAAACTTGGGTGGTACTCTAGAGCCCATACTTGTAACCAATACAGTGTGCTTTATTGCTTCTCTTTATATAATACAATTGCTCTTTTAACCCATAACTATTTCCTTTTATAGCTGCTGCTGTTCTTAAAGGGTTTTTCGGAGTCGGAGAGGAACAAGCTGGCTATGTTGACTGGTGTTCTTCTGGCTAATGGAACACTTAATGCATCCATTCTTAATAGCCTTTATAATGAGAATTTGGTTAAAGAAGGTAATTAACCTTTAGTAAAGGATAGTCTTTAGTTGTCTGAAGGTAGGTTAGAAAGGGCATGAAAGATGAACTGATACAGAATATAATTCATCTAGGTTTGACCTGTGTAGTAGTGTTTTTAACTATCTTTAAATTTAATGGGTTCATTTAAATTCATTAAACATTTATTGTATACTTTTGGCATCCAGAGTTAATGTCTTGCTTTAGGCATATAGCAAATATCCAGGGTCCAGATGCAAAGTGATTATAAAGTAAAAAAATTTCAATTCTGTGGTAACCCAGAGGATGAGTTCCAATTGTGAGACTTGGAAATTTGTTTAACAGAAGAAGTGCCATTGGGGAAAATGTCAAGCTGAAAAGGGAAATAAGTTCCTTATATTGATTTCCATAGTTAAATTATTCTTTAGAATAATAAAAGGCTAACTTCTTTATTTTACTAAGAGTACTGAGTATGTAACATGCATTATTTTGATTCTCACAATACCCCTGTCAAGTGTAAGAACTGTTACATTCATTTTATACATTGGAAAATGGTTTAAGTAGCTTGACTAAAAATATATAACCAAGCAAATGTTCAAATAGAGAAATTGGAGTTAAATGGTGAGCAGTAGTAGAAGGAAGTCCAGGGGTAAGTGTGCGGATAAAGTGAGTAATCCTGTGTAGTTGAACTATGGAGGGAGGAAATGGAGAGGTGCAGTGGTTGAATCCAGGATGGAGCTTCTGTTAAGTGTGCTCTTTTCTTCTATAGGGGTTTCAGCAGCTTTTGCTGTAAAGCTCTTTAAATCATGGATAAATGAAAAAGATATTAATGCAGTAGCTGCAAGTCTTCGAAAAGTCAGCATGGATAACAGGCTGATGGTTTGTAACTTTCACTTTTTTTTTCCCATTCTTGCTAGGAAAGTGCAATAAGGGGACTTTGTCATTTTTAGCCTGTCAAGAAAAGAGTTTTTCCAGGGGAGTGGGAGAAGGTACAGAAAATAAATAGCATAGACAGTAGATAGAAAATAGATAGGGGGAGGGTAAGAATAGTAGGGGAAATATAGAATCTAAAGAACTTGAGACATGTTCATGAACTAAAGGGGGGGAATGGTGGGGGAGGGGTGTGCAGGGTGGAGGGGGACAGGGGGGAAATAGAACAAATGTAATGGCATAATCAATAAAATAAAAAATATTTTAAAAAAAGAAAAGAGTTTTTCTTAATCTGATTTAAAGATCATTTACTTACATTAAATTCTCCTTTCAGGAACTTTTTCCTGCCAATAAACAAAGCGTGGAACACTTCACAAAGTACTTCACTGAGGCAGGCTTAAAAGAGCTTTCAGAATATGTTCGGAATCAGCAAACCATTGGCGCTCGTAAGGAACTTCAGAAAGAACTTCAAGAACAGATGTCCCGTGGTGATCCATTTAAGGATGTAAGATATTTTATTTAAACTGTCATTATATGGCCAAGTTTCCGGTAAAGAAAAAATGTTAAGTATTTCACCAGAGTGGGCTTTAATAGTTGTAGAAAATTATGCTGGGGCTTTGCCTCTGTCTTTTTCGTCTTTAGTGCCAATTTGGTGCCCAGAAATTACCATGCTTGGGGATTTTGTAGGTTGTAAGCTAGTGGACAGGCCTGTTTCTCTCTCAGTCCTTTCCTAGCCAGTTTGCCTATGTGTAAACTAAGGTTTGAACCAGAGATTCACCCCTTCCAGTTCTAAAAGCTCTTTGATTCTATGTGGTACATACGTGGTTGTTGCCGCTTATATGGAAGGGTCTTTTTATGCTTTTGTATAAGTTCTAAGTTTGATGTATGGGGTATGTACATATATAACATACATACATACAATTTCTGGTCGCTAAATTTGGATTCTTTTGCAGATAATTTTGTATGTCAAGGAGGAGATGAAAAAAAACAACATCCCAGAACCTGTCGTCATTGGAATAGTCTGGTCCAGTGTAATGAGCACTGTGGAATGGAACAAAAAAGAGGAGCTTGTAGCAGAGCAAGCCATCAAGCACTTGAAGGTATTAGATCTGTTTCTTAACCAAACATTCTACTTCTACATTGGGAAAAGTAAATCGTTATTGTGCTTTTTTCTAAGAGCATAGATTGCATCTGTGGTTTCCTGGTATTTACATGCCAGTAAATAGAAAACATATTAATTATTAATATAACCTTTTAAAAAGTCTGACTTGCACTTTGGTTGATTCATAGATTAAAAACGAATACTTGCTGAAAAGTAGCTTAAACCTGCAATTTGGTGTTTGCTTTTGGGGAATATTGGCAAATAGAAGCATTTTCTTCTTTTTCCTCTAAAATATTAAACATTATATTGATAGTTATCTGGAATTCTTGATGAATTGTTTATTCGATATAGATGCTTAGCAGATTTTTCTGCTTTACTACTTTTTTATTTTCACTAAATAAAATATATAATTCACGGTGGTTATAAAAGATGAGTTATGTTCTATATTTCAGAAATTTTATAATGGATGGCCAGCAGAATGAATAACTAAATCTTTTCTCCCCTTCAAAAGCAATACAGCCCTCTCCTTGCTGCCTTTACTACTCAAGGTCAGTCTGAGCTGACTCTGTTACTGAAGATTCAGGAGTATTGCTACGATAACATTCATTTCATGAAAGCCTTCCAGAAAATAGTGGTGCTTTTTTACAAAGGTAATTTAAAACTTCAGTTTTGTGAATACACGATTCTGAAGAGTAGTTGTCTGAACACCAGCTCCCTAAAATACTTTACTCTGATCACAGAATTGAATTGTCTGCCATTGAATTGGGTGCTTTTTTTTTTTTTAAGTTGGTAATTATTTATTTAAAAAATTTTATTGATTATGCCATTACAGTTGTTTTATTTCCCCCCCTTCATTCCCTTCCACCCTGTACCTTCCCCCTGATTCCCCCCCTTTAGTTTATGACCATGTGTTTCAAGTTCTTCAGATATTTCCCATACTATTTTTACCCCCCATCTATTTTCTACCTACTGTCTATGCTACTTATTTTCTGTACCTTCTCCCCCCTTTTCCTTCTCCCACTCCCTTGTTGCTAACCCTCCATGTGATCTTCATTTCTATGGTTCGCTTCTGATCTAGCTGTCCTCTTAGTTTGCTTTTGTTTTAGGTGTGGTTGTTACTAACTGTGAGTTTGCTGTCCTTTCACTGTTCATCTTTTTTTATCTTCTTTTTCTTAGGTAAGTCCCTTTAACATTTCATATAATAAGGGCTTGGTGATGATGAACTCCTTGAATTTGATCTTATCTGAGAAGCACTTTATCCGCCCTTCCATTCTAAATGAAAGCTTTGCTGGATAGAGCAATCTTAGATGCAGGTCCTTGCCTTTCATGACTTTGAATACTTCTCTTCAGCCCCTTCTTGCCTGTAAGGTCTCTTTTGAGAAATCCGCTGACAGTCTGATGGGGACTCCTTTGTAGGTGACTGTCCCCTTAGCTCTTGCTGCTTCTAGGATTCTCTCCTTCATTTTAATTTTGGCTAATGTAATGATGATGTGCCTTGATGTGTTCCTTCTTGGGTCCACCTTCTTCGGGACTCTCTGAGCTTCCTGGACATCCTGGAAGTCTATTTCCTTTGCCAGATTAGGGAAGTTCTCCTTTATTATTTGTTCAAATAAGTTTTCCACTTGTTGCTCTTCCTCTTCCCCTTCTAGTACCCCTATAATTTGGATGTTGGAATGTTTAAAAGATGCCCTGGAGGTTCCTAAGCCTCTCCTCATTTTTTTTGAATTCTTGTTTCTTTCTTTCCTGTTTGGTTGGTTGTTTCTTCCTTTTGGTCCACGCCATTGATTTGTGTCCTGGTTTCCTTCCCATTACTGTTGGTTCCCTGTGCATTTTCCTTTATTTCACCTAGTATCGCCTTCATTTTTTTTATCTAATTTGGGACCAAAATCAACCAATTTTGTGAGCTTCCTGATCACCAGTGCTTTGAACTGTGCATCTGATAAGTTGGCTGTCTCTTGGTTGCTTAGATGGATTGGCTCTGGGGCTTTGATCTGTTCTCCCATTTGAGCCTCTTTTTATTTATTTATTTATTTTAGGGGGGTGGTCAGGTTATGAATGAGGGGTGGAGCCTTAGGTGCTCATCAGGGCAGGGCAACCCAGTTGCTGGGTTGTGATGCTGTATGTGGGGGCAGGGTCAGAGAAGAAATAGTGGTGCTTGCTCCACTCTTTGCCAGATTCAGTCACTTCCCCGTTTACCCCAAGCAAACTGGGCCCTTCTGGTGCTGATTCCTGGGTATGTGGGCTTGTGTACATTCTAGGACCCTGTGGGTCTCTCCAACGAACTTTCCTGTGATGCTGGGAATTTCTCCTGGCACCCCAACCCCCACAAGTGTTTTCAGTTAGTGCTTTTAGGCTTTATTTCCCAGTGCTGGGGCCCTGGGTTGTGTGGTCTATCTAGCTTCCCGTTTCTGCCTGGTTTTATCTGCTCATAAATTTGGGACCAGGGTCAGCCAGCTGCCCTGCTCACCTCACTGGGTCTGCCCATTGCCACCCTTTGCCTGGGATCTGCTGGCCACCGACTCCGCTCCTCTTAGCGGTCTGGATGAATGGTTGTCAGACTTCTGTACAGTTCAATTTTCAGTCAGTTCTTGTTTTTTTGTTTCTAAATTTTTGTTGTCCTTAATGTTGGTTGTACGAGGCAGCAGTGTGTCTACCTATACCTCCATCTTGGCTGGAAGTCAAGAATCCACTAGTTTAAAATTTTTTTTCCTAGTAGCAGGTTCATACTTAGGCAACAACTTAATAAAAATCAGGCTCTCATTTTAGGTTTTTTAAAAATTTGTTGAAGAGCCCTGGCTGGTTTAGCTCAGTGGATGGCGAACCAAAGGGTTGTCAGTTTGATTCCCAGTCAGGGCACATGCCTGGATTGTGGGTCACGTCTCCAGTGGGGGGCCACGTGAGAGGCAACCACACATTGATGTTTCTCTTTCTCCCTCCCTTCCCCTCTTTAAAAATAAATTAAATCTTTTAAAAAAATTGTTGGAGAAAGCAATTAGAGAATGTCTGAGTATAGCCTTCCCCCTCCCCTGCCACTGTAAGGTCTTTGTTGCCATGCAGGCATTTGCACCTTAGGCGGCTTCTAACTATGTGGTGAGAGAAGTGTATGAAAACTACCTGAATGTAATGATCATTATCTTCTTTATAGCTGAAGTCCTGAGTGAGGAGCCCATTCTAAAGTGGTATAAAGATGCACATGTTGCAAAGGGGAAAAGTGTCTTCCTTGAACAAATGAAAAAGTTTGTGGAGTGGCTCAAAAATGCTGAAGAAGGTAAGTCTTTTGTGCAGTTAGATTGGTAAAGCCAGAGGTTTTAGTTGGCCATCCATAGAATGGGTCCACACATGTTGCCATCGTTGATTTAGATGCCATTTTGTACCTAGAGTACAGATTTTTGTAAATGTGTTTACTTTAAATTAAGGCAGGTGAGGAAAATAGTTATTGAAATATTTGGGTGGTCATAATACTAAACATTCTTTACAGAAAATTTGAAAATTTTGAGAATATTTAATATTTATGAATATTGAGGTTTATAAATATTTTTCAATATGCCCATATTTTAGTAGGACATTAATAAGATCCTTTCATTATAATAAAAAGCTTCACAGTTATAAATAGGAACTTCTCTTTTTTGATATATATAATGCTTGACTGCATTTTCCCCCTTTTCTAGAATCTGAGTCTGAAGCTGAAGAAGGTGACTGAATTTTGAAACTACACCCTCAGTAAAGCAAACAGGAGTTGTAGATAAAATGTCATGTCTCATGTGTCCTGGTTCTTACATCTTCCTACCTCCCTATATCAAGCATGATATAAGGGCTTTCATAGCAAATTTTATTTTAACTGTTTCTATGGTTACTGGAAATGTTGGGTTTAGTTTCAAAAACCATGTTGTAAGTAGCTACAGGAGCTATAGATTTGAATCTAATGTTGCATTAGTCTTTTCAGTTATCTTCTACCTCCTGTATTTTCTACTGTAATAATGTAATTTAAGGCCTTCCACAATGAACAGTTCACTTTTTTCCTGGGTTTTCTATATAAAGTTTTCAAGATATGATTTGGTTAAAAATAATTTGTTATAAAAATTCTGTTTGCAAATTAAACTGTAAAAGTATCCAAAGTCTCAAAAAGGAATGATTTGTGTGATAATTTGGTATGCCCAAAGCCCTCATCCAGGAAAACCTCATATACAGCAATTGAATTCATTAACATGACTCTTGAGTATTTGGGCCATTGCTTCCATGTTAATATTTTCTTAATTTTTAACCCTGTAAGTCTTTAGCTCATTTGTTCTCTGGTTTCCATTTGTTAGTGGAGCCATGGAGAGCAAGCTTGAAAGTGAGGTCTTTGGGAAATTGTACTAGGCAGAGGTGGTGGGAAGAAAGAAGTTCAACTTTTCCTATTGAGAAATTTCTGCATTCTGTTTGTACCTTTCCAGGCAAAATAGCTGCGTATTCTTTTCATACCATTTTCAACTGTACCTTAGAAAAATCTTGTCATTTAACAAAGTTAACACTTGTCATATCCTTAGATTGGTAGGAAAGGACTCATGGAATAGTGTGAGTAAAGGAAATGCCTTTACCTAGTTGCCTTTTATTTTTAATTGCCATGAGCCAACTATCTCTTCTATATAATTGATTTATTTTAATGGTTGCCTTTTATTTTTTGTCTTTTGTTGTCATTCATCTTTGTTGTCATTCATGTATATGTATGTAGTCAGTAGAAGACAAAATACGACCACACTTTTTGGTGGAAAGACTTTATCTTACATGTGAAACTTCTGGAAGTTTTGATTACTGAAAGAAACTAGGTTGGAGTAATGCCACCAGAGACTGGGTGGAAATTGCCCCTTTCAGAGGTGCCATTTTTATGAGCCAAGAATTTGGTGTTTAGTAGTTCATCTGGAGGGAATAATGTGTAGTATAATTTGAAATAAAGTTGTATACTTACCTTACAGAGAGCATTATTACTGATATCATTGTGAATGGGGTGAAATTGTTAAATGAATAACTTTGATCAAGTTTTCATGCACAGGCAAAAATGTATTCACTAGGTTCCTACGTAGTGATCTGCTTTTACTTTGTAATTTGTAGTCCTCAAAAGACTTTTTAAAAAAAATAAAGTCCATCCTTACACTTAGGTTATGTAGGTCAGTCTTCTTTATTTTTTTTGTAAATTCCTTGTTAATGTCCAGTAGTAAATGTATGTTGTACATTCAGGTGTCTCTACTATGTAAACATTAAATAATTGCTCTTTTTGTCCTTATAGCTCCCAAACTGTAAACACCTACACAGAATTCTGATGTAGTGGAAACTACATAACATTTCTACAACCGAATCATTGCATGTTACTGCTGTTCAAAGTGTACTCTGTTCTATTATATACTGTGTATAGTGAAAGAATGTGTAGTCTTCCAGAACTACATTATGATCTTTGTCTGATCATAGTTTTTTTCTTCATAATGACAAAGTAGTGTTTACTGACTACAATATTATAATAAATGAATATCACCTATGACAGTATAAAAGAAAGGAAATGCTTTCTGAAAAGACTACAGATTTTCATTTTGAATTTTAAGTGGTAGTTTTGGGACTCAGCTGCCAATGCCAACTTATGGCCTCAAATATGTAATTCTTAATATAGATGTTAAAAATTGTACTTGTATGATTGGATAAATGTTGACTTTCCTAACTTGATGTCAGTTTCAAAGGATAAGTCTATTAGATACCATAATTAAATGTGTATTTAGAGCTGATCATAGTTTCTTAATTATTCTGGAGTATTGTCCTAGAAATATTTATTATGTTATTAAGAAAACTCCAAATACCAAAAATACCACAGGCTATTTTGACACAGCATAGCGATGGTGGTGAGAGGAAGTGCGTGTGACTGGGAGGCTGACTTCTAATTCAGTGTTTCTCTAAGCTTTATCACCCTCCCCCAGGAAGCCTTTTTATTTTTAGACTTTTCTAATAGCACCCCAATAAATTTTACTATAGATAAGCTACATGTGTATTGTATCTGTTTTATGTATGGAAAAAGTAAATGCTTTTGGGGGTCCCATTTGGGGGTAGTACCACCCCCACTGATAATGCATGCCCTGGCATATTTTTTTAAGAGTGGACATAGAGATAGACATTTGCATTGGCAGACATACCTTCATGCAGATCCATATCCTGAAGCGGTACTTTTTTTTCTCCCAGGGTCACTAGAAAATAGAGAACGTTTGTTTTCTGCCAGTCACCCATCTTTTAACAGTTAATGCTTTACATCTCAGCCCACCATAGGCATCAGACAAGTAATTTCCCTTTTACTTTGAACGTCTTAAGAGATTCTTGCTTGATTGTAAATGTAACAGAGGCATTCAGGTTTCTTCTAATCTATTAAAAAAACCTCTAGATGAGTGATTTATTTCAAGTTGGGCAAAACACTTTAATAAATGGTATTGAAATTTTACTGATGCAGCAGCTGCCCTCCTCAATTAGGTTGCTTGCAGCAACTGGCAAAACTATTGGGCTTTGTAACATAGGTGCCGAAATTTTAGTGTGCATTGTTACTTAAACTACTAAATGAACTTCGTAAAAATTCTCTTCAATGCTATTACAGGTGCCAGGTAAAGGGAGTTCATAAGCGTTTCTGTGAGAATTATGGTAAATGCCTTGCTACAATTATTCAGAAATACATTTATCCTGTAGTATTTAAAGTCTACCTGTTCACAAGCCTACTGAGGCCTAAAGGTTTAAAATATAGTTTTCAGTAGGCTTTAAGTGGAATCTAGGAGATGTATTTAGTACTTTTTATTTCAAAATAATTTATAATTGGCTTTGATCTAAAAAACGTGAATTGCAGTGAATTCGTACCTAAATATAATCCTATGCATAATTGTATGAAACTTGGTGTGGATCAAAAGGCTTCCCAGTTCGCTTTCCCCTCCATAATTTCCCCTATTTAACTGTAGTCAACTAGCAGCTATTAATTCAATTGTTTTAATTTTCCAGTGCATTTACAATCCTTTTATCCTGATTCTAGGATTATAGTCAGACCTCTGGATGAATTTTTTAAAAAAAGATGAATTTACAAGTACTCTCAATCACTGTCAATTTAATAACTGAATAGGAACCTTGGTTAAATTAAAAGCTAAATTGTTTGTGCTTACTATAGTGCCCTAGAGGAGACAGTGGTTAAAAAAATCCACTGAATCCTTTGCAGATTTTATCTGGAGGAACCAATATCTCGTCAAACTGAGAATATTTATTGTTGTATTAGTGCAGCTTTGGGAACTATGTATTATGAATGAACTTGGGGTGCTACAGAGTTATCAAATAATTGAGCTGTTCCATTTCAGGGAATTTCCAGTCAGTATAACCAATTTAAAATATCTAAGGAAGAAAATTCTTGAACTTTTTTAAAGTTAAAATACTTAAGGCTGTGCTTAAAAGTTAACTTTTCAGGTAAACCTATTGGGGAATAAGTAACCCATTTATGGGCTGAAGCCTGTACTACAAAAAGATGTTCTACATTCTCTGGTATATTAATAAAATATTCTCTGTAAATACACCTCATTTTCATTCTAGGTGTAAGGGTAATGGATCTTGGCATAGCAAACAGTTGAATGGAGAAAACATAGCTGGTGATCGAGATGGTTCTTGGCACTCTGAACAAACTCAAGTATAGACATGCATGCCAATAATTATATTGCTGCATCATTTCTATTTAACTGAAACTTGCTTCTTGTCTGTCCTTTTGAGGTTGAATAAAATTTCATGAGACTCCTTGTTAATGTAAAGAGAAAAGCAGTGACTGTTGGCATTGGTTGTTGTATGCTAATGGTCAAGTGCTCCAAGTTGGTTAAGGCTAAGTCCTTGTCCATTTTGACTGGGTGTTTTAAATGCCGTCAAAGAGCCTGTCCCTCCAGAAATATTTTTTCTCCAGACCAGTTTTGCGTTTGTGTGGCTCACGTGTACTTCAAACACAGAAGTGAATATGTTCATGTTTTTAGAAAATGCCAGTGTTTCACTAAATAAAATAGTAACACCATCTATCCTCTCCAGAAAGCTTCATGTCGCTTCTCTTTAAGCCCTCATGTATCAAGTCCTGCCCATTCCAGCTCTAACATAACTTCTCTCCCCTACTGCTACCCTAATTCAGGCCACGAACAGCAGCATTAGCTCAGATAGTCTTGTAAGTGCAAGTAAAATTTAACAGAATGCCAGGCAGTATGTAATGGAATACATACACCCTGTAGTCAGTGTGGTCCAGTTACATGGAAAGCTTTTTTTTGAAAAAAAATTTACCCCTGGCCATGTAGCTCATTTGGTTGGGTGTCGTTCCAATATGTCAGGGTTATGGGTTTGATTCCCCAGTACAGACACGTGAGAATCAAGCAGTGAATGACTAACTGGAATAAGTTGATATTCCTCCCTCCCTAAAATGAGTAAACATTTTTTAAAGTTTAAAAGAAAAAAATTCTCATTGAGCCATCACCCAGTTTCAACTATTATCTCACTGCCAATTAGTTTGTATACATCCACTCCCTTTCCCAATCCCTCTTGGAATTTTCTGAAACAAAATCAAAATGTTGTAACTTCAGGGAACCCTTTTCTGTGACTTTAAATGGAGGAGGCAGTTTTCTGTGGACAACAGGGGTGATTGCTGGGAGGAGGGAGGTATAACAGGACTAAATGGTAATGGGGGGAAAAAGGTAAGATTTAAAGAAAAAAAATTCTCTTCTTTTGGGACTCGGGGCTTCAGGCAACTATTCTCACTTGGAAACTCCTAGTGACTTTATCTTGTGCTAAAGTAAATCCACTCTTTTTCAGTGATCTGCAAAGCCTGTGATGTGGATCTTGGCTGTCTAACCTCATCTGATGGTTTCTAACACCCATTCATCTTCAACCACACTGGTTTCCTTGCTGTTCATTGAACATAATTGATACTTTTGCCTCAGGGGCAGTTACTGTTTCCTTTCTGCACAGTCTTTCCTGGGTTTTCTACATGGATTTCCTCCCAAGAACTCTGCTCCCCCAAAGGTATCCATTCAGTAAATGCTGAGCGCCTTCTATCTGCCTGACATTGTTACAGGCTTTTAGTATATGCAGGGAACAAAGTATCTGTCAGAGACCTTCCTTTCACAGTTGTGTAAAACTAAAGTTCCTGTAGAAAGGAAAAAAAAAAAAAACAGAAAAGGGGCATATGAATAGTGTCCACAACAGAGACTGGCAATTTTAAGTAAGATAGGAAAGCTTTGCTGAAATGAACAAACACCTGAAGGAGGAGAAAGTGATGTTCATCATCAAGGGCAGTATTTGGCATAGGAATGAGGCCACAGCACTGCTTTAGAGGAGAAAGCTGATGATGTGGTCAGAAAGGTAAGAGTGGCCCAGCAAATATGAAGGTGGTTGTAAGGACTTCGGTTAATCTGATACGGAAGCCTTTGGAGGATTTTGAGATGAACGTAATACTGTATTTTTCAACTATAAGACGCACAACCCCACCTGCGCCCACCCCCCTGCCAAATTTGGGAGGAAAGTGGGGGGGTGCATCTTATAGTCTGAATGTAGCTTACCTGGCTCACAAGAGTGGTGGTGGTGGAGCAGGGTCACAGGTTATTAAATATTTTGTATTTTATGCTTCAGGAATTGTTTTCCTATTTTCCTCCTTTGAAACCTAGGTGTGTCTTATGGTCTGGTGCATCTTATAGTCCTAAAAATACGGTACTTAGTGTAATACACAGGTGGCATGGCAAATACAAGGCCTGCGGGCTAAATCCCGCGGGCACCCTCTGTCCCTTAGCACCTTGTTCCTACCTGGTAGCGGTGACAAGCTCTTGCTTAGCTGTTAAGGTAGTTACATTTATGCAGTCCTAAAATTACATTTGGCCCTTTGAAGGCAGCCTCGAGGCTGATGTGGTCCCCAGTGAAAATGAATTTGACTCCCTTAGTATAATAGGTTCACTCTGGCTTCTGTCCATAGACTGGGGGTAGATAGAGTGGGTCACTGGTGCCACTGACGGTTCTAAATTCTCTACCCTTGCCTTTGCTGACACCTTTTGCCATGTAACCTTGTTATGCCCTCCCATGCAGATTCTGGGGCACAGGATGACTCCAACCAATGGAATGTTAGCAAATTGGCCCTAGAATATCTCAGTTCCTAAGGCAGGGTAAACCTCTCTTAAATCTAAAACAATAGGGCCCTAAGGTTTGTATCATCCAATCTAATGCTTTTTAAGGAACAAAGGGAAAACAAAATCTTCCTGGCTTATTTCTGTAATTATTTATATCCTGTATTTAACTGAATTTATTAGGGTGATACTGGTTAACAAAATTATATAGGTTTCAGGTGTACAAGTCTATCATTTGTACACTGAAATGTGTGTTCACCTCCCCATGTCATTTGGTTTAGAAAAGAATAGCCTAAGTCCAAGAGAAAACCAAGTATTTCCAAAGAAACCTGCAGTAGAAGAAACATGTCCATTCATCAAAGTGACAAGAGAAAAATGGTGCTAAAACAAATTGTACACATTCATACAATTTCATAAACAAAAATTTATTCTGAAGTAATCATTTTATACAGAAATCACTGAAAAAAGATGTTCATTTTACTTGGCTATATACTTAAACTATCCAAACAAAATAAACATGGCAATGCAAATATTTAAGAAATTTACAAAAGCTGTACAAAATAACTTAATATTTAAAAATTAGACTGATGCAGTCTACAAAATTTCAGAGTTGTACAATTAGAGATCTATGTATTTTTTTTTAGAGGATAAAAGAAAGGATGCTTTAAGGCTTCTTTGAGAGTAATCCTTTTAGCTGGTTCATACTCTAGCATTTTCTGAATGAGGTCAAAGAGAAGCTCATGTTCATCATCCTGAGAAAGCATAAATTCCTGAAAGGGAAAAAAATGCATGATCAAACAGCTTTTTCTATCAACACATTATGATTTTATTTATCCACAATGAAAAGAGGGAAAACTCAAAGATCATGTAAACCCAGGCTTACCTTCAGAGGTTTACAGCGCCTTGAAACATATCTGCCAGCAGAACTGTTTTCATCCCAGTCCAATCTATCATGATGGAAATATTTACGTTTCCTAAGAGTAAGTTAATATCCGTGTTTATGTTGACAATGAAAACTTACAATATCTAGCAGAAGTGATTGACTTCATCAACTATTATGCTTTTATAAATCAAAGACTAATGCTTTTCCAGAGATTTAAACATTTTTTTAAATTTAATTGTTGTTCAAGTATAGTTTTCTGTCTTTTACTCCCATCCCAGCCCACCCCCCCAGTGCTCCCCACCTCCCTTCCGTTTCCACCTGCCTTGTTTTTGTCCATGTGTCCTTCACACTACTTCCTGTAAATCCTTCCCCCTTTCCCCCTGAAATTCCCACCCCTCTCCCCTCTGGTCACTGTCCACTAAACATTTATTTTTAGAGAGAGGGGAAAGAGAGGGAGAGAAACATCAATATGTGGTTGCCTCTCAAGCACCTCCTACTGGGGACCTGGCCCACAACCCAGACATGTGTCCTGACTGGGAATCTAACCAGCAACCCTTTGGTTTGCAGACCAGCACTCAATCAACTGAGCCACACCAGCCAGGGTGCTTTCCCAGAGATTTAAAAAGGAGCCTAGAGATAGTTACTGGCTTTCCAGCAAAGTAATCAGCTACTTAAATGAAAAAGCATTAGTATGACTTCACTGTTTTATGGTTCTATGAGGACGGATAACCAAGCAATACTAAAGGTAACACTCTTAAAACATACCTGGTTTTCTGTATCATATGTTTTGGTAAAGGTCCAAGAATCCTTTCCATCATTGCTAAGTGCTCCTTACTATCATGTGTCTAAAATAATAAAAAAGTTTGTTAACTACCATTACTTGCATGTTGTGCCTTGTTCTTATTTAACAGAGCTGCTGCATTTCTATCTAGTCCCTACATGATTAGACACGAAGATCACTAAAATAAGATCTACTCTCAGCAACAAAAAACAGTAATGCTTATAAAACGAGATCACCAAAGATTCCCTAATTCAATAGGTTTGATTGTATATACAAGGGTGGTTCAACCTTTTGGCATCTCTGGGCCACACTGGAATAAGAGTTGTCTTGGGCCACACATTAAATACATTGCAACATTAAAAAAAAAACAAAAACAAAAAACCAACTCATTTTTTAAGTAAATTTAAGATCTTGTATTGGGCTGCATTTGCAGCCATCCTGAGCCACATGCAGCCCACAAGCTGCAGGCTGGACACCCCTGGTTTATAATATACTTTAAAATAGTTTCAATAAAATGATAAACTATGAGGGAAATACCAATGCCCAGCAGCATCAGATTTACATAATTTTTATTTCTTTGTATTTATCTACCACTAAGTATATGAAACAACCTCAATAAATGTATTTGTGTTACTGTTCATTCACATAAACAAGCACTTTTCTTGTGCAAGGTACTTACTGGAAATACTGTAAACCCAAGGTAGTATTCAATAAGAATACATCCTATACTCCAGACATCACATGGCTGGGACCAACCTAAGGCTGCAAAACAAAGCAAACTTAGAGAAAAAATATCCTATTTCTTATTAAAAAAACCCCACATTTTCATAATGTATATTAATTTAATGTTTCAGCTGATAAAGATCTCAAAGAAATCACTTAACCCAAGACTAAATATAAGAGCACAGTATGTAAGAATTAGGGCTCTGAGGACACTGGTTTCAAGTCCTAACTCAGGCTCTCTGAGCTAGAGATTTAGAAAATTTTTTTCTGAGCCTCAAATTTCCTAACCTGTAAAATGGGCACTACCTACCTACACAAAGACTGGACATGCATATTATAAATATGCAAACTGAATTCCAGGAAGATTAAGATACTTAAAGTCCCAAAAGTGACTAGTAGGTACAAATAAGAGATTAAAATCTTAATGTGTTTTATAATATTAATTCTAAAAGGGAAAAAGAAAGTCCCACAAAAATAAAACCTTGATTGGTAAGTAAATTTCAAAATCAGCTTCAAAATCAGCTTCAATGAAGATAAAGGTTCCTAAAGGACAATTAACAAATACTTACCTAAAATAACTTCAGGTGCCCTATAATGTCTTGTAGATACCAATGTACTGTGATGTTCATCATCATATGTTGCACTTCCGAAGTCTACAACTTTAATATCTGGATTTATTAGGGTACGTTCATCACGTTTCTAAAAACCATGAATGATGATTAAGTAGGCATAATATTAAGAAGGCATGAAATATTAATTTAAAGCCATGAAGAAAATAAATTGAAGACTTACCATTTTGGGATTGTATGCCTCTGTGTAGTCAGATTGCACAAATAAAATGTTTTCAGGTTTTAAGTCTGTGTGAGTCAATTTATTACTGTGCAAAACTGAGAATGAAACATAAAAAGTTGCTGTAATCTACAAATCAAAACTCAAAACCTAGCCAATCCCCAAATCCTTACCAACAAAAAAAACCCTCTCTGATGTCTTTTCCACAAGTCTGAAAGGTCAGTATTCAATAGTATGCTAGAAAACCATCAGAACTGAAACCCACTACCTTCCTTCAGAAATTAGTCCACTGTAATAACTCCTTTAAAAATGAAGAATTATCCTTCTCTTATGTAGCTGAGATTTGCCATACCTTAATTTAAACCTAGTGATTCTAGATTATTTTTAGAATCTGAAAGGCTAAATCATAGCCTTCTATATGATAATATATTGATATACTTTCACTGAATGAAATTCAGTAAAACTGACCAATTTGTTATCAACTATATCTTTCTCACACCAACTCAAGTCATATTATGTTAGATCCCATTTTTTTCCATTTGACAATATATGTTTCAGGTGCACAGCATAGTGGTTAGACATTTACAAAACTTACGGAGTGATGCTCCTGATAGGTCTGGCACCCCCGACACCATACCGAGTTACATACAATATTATTGATTATATTCCCTATGATGTACTTTATATCCCTGTAACTGTGTTTGTCACTGCAAATTTGTACTTTTTAAAATACTGTTCTGTTTAATTGTTGTTCAAGTACTTTTCTGTCTTACTCCCATCCCAGCCCACCCCCCCACAGCCCTCCCCACCTCCCTCCCATTTCCACCCCCCTTAGTTGTTGTCTATGTGTCCTTTATACTAGTTCCTGTAAATCCTTCCCCTTTTCCCCTGAAATTCCCTCCCATCTCCCCTCTGGTCACTGTCCACTTGTTCTCTATTTCAGCGTCTGGTTATATTTTGCTTGCTTGTTTGTTTTGTTGTTTAGCTTCCTGTTAAAGATAAGATCATATGGTATTTGTCTTTCACCACCTGGCTTATTTCACTCAGCATAATGCTTTCCAGTTCCATCCATGCTGTGGCAAAGGGTAGGATCTCCTTCTTTCTTTCTTTCTGCTGCATAGAATTCCATTGTGTAAATGTACCACAGTTTTTGGATCCATTCATTTACTGATGGGCACCTAGGTTGCTTCCAGCTCTTGGCTATTATAAATTGTGCTGCTATGAACATTGAGGTGCATAGGTTCTTTTAAATTTGGACTTTTTATAAGATATTTTTTCCCCCTTAAAGAAAGATCCAAATCAATCTGGCATTAAACTAGTCTCAGTAAACTAGTTTTTGGAAGATATGCCAAAGTACTTACAATTCACAGACTTGCATATCTGATATGCCATCTTCCTGATATGATCCAGTCGAAATGGCAGAAAACCATTTTCCTTAATAAAGTCATACGTACTAAGTCCTAGTAGCTCAAACACAATACAAATGTGACCACGATGCTCAAACCACTCCAACATCTGGACACAGCGGCTGCAGACACATAAAAAATAACTTAGTACAATTTCTTATAATTTAGAACCCTACTTAGAGGCATTTTTCTAAGTTATATTTTGATACTTACAATGTACTGTTGGGGTCTGTTGTATTTAAGTGTTCCAGAACTTGTATTTCTGAGCGAGCAGCTTCACAGTATCTATCCACATTTTTAACTATTTTTACTGCTACATGTCTACCTCCCCTGTTAGAGACAATATAAGTCCAAATTTAAAAAAAAGATGATAAAAATGCTTAATTGCATTTTTCTATCTTTCTTTTCAAACTGTACAATTCTACTTAAATTATATGTAAGTACTCTCTTCTAACTGCATCTCAATGTAAGCCAACTAGAATAACCTTCAGGCATATGATAGGGTCCCTAATACAAATTATTTTTTGGTCCTTCAATTAAACTATGTATCAACAGTAATGTAACGAAAATATTGGCTATTACCACCTCAATTTGCATGCCATTTAAGATTCAAAATAAATGTACATAAAGCAGTTTCTTCCTATACTGCCTGTCACTGGCAAATATTATCTCAAATATTCCTTTCATCCAGATTACCAGAAAAATCAGGATCTGTGAAAAAACAGTAAGAAGCTCTATCTAGGTCTCAGAATCTTACCAACAGTAGAAAGCATCCTCTAACAAAACACTTAGAAAAGCTTTGCCATTCCAAAAGAAAACATTTCAAACAGAGAACAAAAAAGGTTAACAAAGATTTCTAATGCTACCTTAAGACATTCTAATCAGTAATTCGATGAGCATAATTTGTGACACCAATCCAGAAATTTTTTTAGCCCAGACTATACTATCAGGATGAATTATGACACTTTCTAAAAATAAGTAAGTATTCTGAAGACTACCTCAACTGGTATGGGGTAGGCAAAGCTCCAAAGACTCCCAACATAAAACCAAGGGTGAGAACCACTATCTAGAAGGGAAAAAAAGGGGGACGGAGAAGCCCACAATTCTCCCTACTGAGCCAACAAATACTATTTCCTGGAATAACAATATCTGTTCTCAGCTTAAAAGTGAAACTAGAGGCTGCATATATGAATTACTACTGCTTAAAAACACAAAGAGTATCTTTTACTGGGAGTTTCCTACAAGGTAGGAACCCAAGCTAAAAGGGTAAAGATATATCTTAACTCGTGGCCAGACATATTCTAAAGCAAAATGTATCTTCTATACTGTTGATCACTCCAAATACAATCCCAGGCTAGGAAACTTACGCTTTACGATCAATGCATTCCACGACTTTTCCAAAAGCTCCTTCACCTAAAGTATTAACAATTTCATCTAAAAGAGAAAAATAAATCTCAGTCACACCAAGAAGTGAAAACATTTTACTTATCATAATAAATGCTATAAATGCAGATTATTCTAGTTGATGCTACAAATGTCCTTATCACTATTTCACTGGTCAACACTGTCAAAAAACATGTTAACTATTTTTAGGTCTAATTTCATTCTTAAAGCTAATTTTATTTAAATTGATTTACTGTTTTTGGAAGATCTACATAACATTAAATTTCTAAAGAAAGCAAAAATAACAATTCCCCCCACCACCAAAAGAAATGGAAAAAAAACAGAAACAAATAAAAAAAGAAGAAAAACAGAGAAAGAAAAAGATTTCCAAATCCCTGAAATCTTAATCTATATATATAGATTATGTTATCTGAAAAGTTAATAAGTGTTGAAAAATATTCTATACATCTTGCACTTAGTACGTCTCCACTCTGACAGATCAGGTGACCCTCCTCATCATCCTCTACACTCCTGGTTCTTTTCCTTCGGTGACTCTTCTGGAAACGTCAAGTGGGCGGCACCAAGATCATCCAGCCAATCAATATACCCGAGTGAATTCAGGGCAGAATACGAAATTCATTCAGCGGGGAGATATTCAGGCATTCAGATACACGCCAGGCCACAAACGGTTGGCAGGAGCAATTTCAAATTCAGTCCCCAGAAATTCACAGGGCACATAGTTTATGTTAACAGGAGAAAAACATGGCAAGGAACAGATTTTCAGATAAGATACTCAAAGTGGCAAGGCAACAAAACATAATACAATTGTTTTCTTAAAAAAATGCTTAGTTGTAGCATTCACTGAAATATAATTTTAAGCTTCTAGTGTCCTATCTTAATATCGCAAAATTGCAGTAATATTTACTTGTCAAAATAGGCTGTGGCCAAACCAGGATTACCTAATTAATCTAAGAAAACAAAATATTAAAACAGTAAATAAAATTAAAGCCCTAAGTTTGGGGAGAAAAAATGATTTGCCATACAGTAACACCATGACATTGTAAATGCCATCTGAGCTATCTCCCAATTAATACAAATCCCATACTGTTCAAATCTGTTAAGTGGTTTACTTAGTGAAAAATAGGATTAGAGCATATGCTTGCCTAGAATGAAGTTACACCTAATCCTTAATCATTCAAAAACAAAAGGCCTAGTCTATTTTTGTGTTAAGGCTTCAATTTATCAAAACAAATCTGACTTCTTTAAGTACCACAAAAAAATCTGTCAGACTATCTGCTAAACACTAATCTAAATTACCCCCCCCTCCCCATTTCCCTCAATGAAATGACAATTAGTTGCCAACTAGTAAAGAAACTGTTAGGTAACTAAGTATATACCATACTCAGGGAATTTCTTATCCAATGCACAAATAGACTCCTGCAAGTTAAAATTGAAATGGCTTCATCTTAAATAGAACTTTCTCAATGATCAAACACAAATTAAAGCTTTCCTGCATCACATGGGAAATAAAATTTCCAAAATGTTTTAAAAGAGCTCATACCCCATGTGAACGATGATGAGAGGTGCTGTGGTGAATCCTGTGCCTGCTTTTATAACTACTTCTTCCACTTCTACCAGAGGACTTGCTACTATGGTTCTGGTATCTGCTTTCATGGTCCCTATGGCGATGCCCAGATTCACACCCTTGATTGTAGTCATTTCTATATTCATCCACGTAGCGTCGACTATAATAATCTTTCTCATTTATGGATCTGCTTTCCAAATAATGGCTAGGAACATAAAACACCAATTTTTCAACACCAATTTTATGGCAACACTAAATAGCCTCAAATTCTCAGTAAATCTCTTACTACTCTTAAAATTTCAGTAGCCAGCTGGTGTTATCTCTCCACACCACGCCCCTCTCTCCTCTCTTGGAGAGTTTAAAAACCTTTATTCCCTGCCCCCCCCCCCCCCCCCAAAAAAAAAGAGAGAGAGAGAGAGAGATTTCATTTTCCCCACTGACCAAAACACAAACCCGCACAATCTTACAAACCTTACAAGCCATCACGGGAAACAGAAAGGCATCCTGTTAGCTTATTTTTAAGTGAACTAGTTTTAATTACAGGAACGGTCCCCTCCGGAGTTACTGAGACGCCTGCCGAGGCCGCAGTGCAGCTGCGTTTTTGCACACTCACCCGCGCCGCCCTCCTCACCTGTCCGAAGTTTTGGAGGCATCGTACTTGCAGCGCTTGTTCTCGCGGGCGCTGCTGCGCGACCTCCTCCTCCTCTTGTGACTGCCGCTGCTCCTCCACCTGGCACAGTCCCAGTCCTTCTCGTCCCAGTCCGCGCAGTAAGTTCTCTTCGAGTGTCTCATCTGCGTAAGAGACAAGTTGCCCCAGTTTTACCCAGCCCCGCACGCCAACACGGAGCGGTTTCACACACTGTTCTGCGAACTCACACTAGTTGTGCCGTGTTATCAACTCCGGCAAAATCGTTCTGTTTCCCGTACGTCCACATGCGAATTCTCCCCATTTAAACGTGCATCAAAAACTAGCCTCCGAATAACACGCGATCACAAATGTTCTTCGCAACCGAGCTATCACTACGAAAATTTCTGACCTAACAACTAACACCGTGAGCCAAGGACGGCACGAGAGAACAAAACTACAAAACACCGTCCCTGACGGCCACCCTCGGGCCGAACTACAGATAACAAAACGACCTAGAGTAAGATACCCCGTTCTAAAGGGGAAGCCATCTTGCAGAAACGTTCCCAACAAAATTCCCTAACGATCTGATTCCACTACGTCTCTGAACTCAAAACGCTCCAACTCGGGGCCCGAAAAATTCAACGCATAACATGCCGGATCCCGCGTTCCGTCGAGTGCTTTAGCTTTATTATCTCTCTTTCCTCAGGTTCCTAGACGACACTGAGGGGTGACAGGGGCGACATTCGCTCCACCTTCTTTAGAATCCACCAGGCCTTAAGTGATACCGCCTCACACCAAGTCGATCCCTCCTGTCTTTGTCTCCAGTTGAAAGGAGTCCAGCTCCTCACAGGTGAAAACGTCACGCAGCGCCCAGGCCCCGCAGCGGCTCGGCCGCCGCCCCGCCCCGCCCCGCCGCCATCTTAGAGCCCCGCGGAGGCGGCCGCCGCGCACAAGATGGCGCCCGGCCTCGGCCCTCCCTCCGCACCGCCGAGGAGGCCCAACGTTCGAGGACCGCCTTCCGCCTCGCAAACAGTGTCACTACCCTAAGCCAGTGTCTGGGGCGTCGAGGTCAACGCAGAAATTCGAAGCCACAGGCGCGACAGAGCTGGACTGAGGCGAGAAAAAAGGGTCGTCGTGCAGGAGGCTGCGGGCGGCCAACAGGCACGGCTCCCGGGGCATCACCGAGCGCCCTCGAGGCAGAGACAGGGCCCTGTCACCTAGCCCGCCTCCTCCTGCGTCTTACCGTCCTGGCCGCGGAGTCCGAGCCGAAGGAGACAAAGCTTGCAAGGTGACAACGTCGAAATTCCAACCGGCTGCAACGGGCTGCGAAAACAAAATGGAGCTGACAGCCGCCGCGTCAGGACTCTTCTCGAAAACACTGGTGACGCTGCAAGGGCGTCTCCGCCCCGGGGCGGGGCGTGCACGCGGGAGGCCGTGGGCCGCGCGGGGTGGCCGCGGGTGCGCAGGCGCCGGGGTGCGGGTGGAGTGGAAGCAGAGCTGCTTGAGGGTCGGGAGTTGCGGACTTGTGGTCCCGTTGGCCTGCTTCCTTCGGGTCGGGGTGATGGGACGACGGTGCGAGCTTTGGGAGGGAAGAATCTTTACTGTGCTCATTAAAAATTGTATTTGTGCCCGGACTGGTGTGGCTGAGTAGGTCGGGTGCCCTCACCCGAAAGGTTGCAGTTTGGTTCCGGGCAGGGCACGTGACCGTTGCAGGTTCAGTCCCCAGCTAGGGCGTTTCCCAGGCGATGTTTTTCTCCTCTCTCAAATGAATATTCTTTTAAAGTTATTTGTGAGTGCTAGAAACAAGAAAAAGTGTGTTCCTTAGTGCACGTTATGTGTCGGCTAAGTGTTTGGGGAGTAATGCTCCCTTAATAGTTTTAAATCAGTCCCACCATCTCACGGTGTGATTGTATTATGTGAACAGCGCCCTTACAGACAAGATTTAATGAGGTCATCAGGGTGGGTCCTAATCAAGCATGACTGATGTCTAGATTACACTAGGAAAGACCCGGTGAAGATAGATGGACATCTACAAGCCAGAGAAGCCTCAGACTAAACCCTGGCCACACCTTTTTCTCCCAGTTTTCTTTTTAAAGATTCATTTATTTTTAGAGAGAAGGAAGAGAAACATCAGTGTATGAAACATAGATTGGTTGCCTCTCTTGGCGCTACTGGCGGGCCTGACCTGCAATCCAAGCATGTGCCCTGACTGGGAAACTGGCCACCCTTCAGTTCACAGGCCAGTGCTCAGACCACTGACCAACACCAGCCAGGGCCTGCCAGTTTCTTGACAGCCTAGACCAAGAGTTGGCAAACTTCTTACAGGGTCAGATAGTAAATATTTTAGGTTTGCAGGCCATTTGGTCTCTGTCACAACCAACAATATTTCTGTTGTAGCAGGAGACAGCCAGAGACAATCAAAAGGAACGGAACTGAGTTTCAAGAAGACATTGTTTATGTACAAGAACAGGTAGGTGGCCAGCCTGTTTTTTGCCAACCTCTGATGGAGACAGGGAACCGTATTTCCTTTTAAGGAGAATTCTGGTTGATTAGCAATGTTCTTGTCTTCTTAGTAGTTTATGAGATACTCAAAACAGAAAATCAATCAGCAAATGCTTATGTGATTAGTGTGAACCAGTCAACTCCGTGTGAGTGAACAAAAGACAATGTTTTTGATCTTGATCCTCATCATGCCTACAGTAGTACGCCCAGGGTAGGCAGGCAGTATACTTCCCTATGTATGAGATCCTTATGGGTATAACTGAGCTGACTTTATAAGAATGAGCTCTAAGAACCAAAAAGTGACCATACTGACACTACTTTTAAAAATGGCAGGGTTTATAATAAAAATTGAGAGAATGCCAGTCGGTGCAGAATCAGGAAAAGCCTTTCAAAAGTGGTAACAAAAACTTCAATGACATGTTTGGATAACACATCAGGTATAAGAAGGGGCAGAACAAACTCTGGCCTAAAAGGGCCTCTAATACTAAATCTAGAAACCAAAATAATTAAAAGGCTGAAATAAAATATGAGAATGTTAGTATAATTGGTACCTCAGTTTAGTGGAATGTATATGTAACTGGTAACAAGAGGACAGCTACAAGTTAACTCTCAAACTGCAGTTAAGAAAACCTCCCCCCTCCTCCAAAAAAAAAGCCCTGGCTGGTGTAGCTCAGTGGATTGAGTGTAGGCCTGCAAACCAAAAGATTGGGGTTCGATTCCCAGTCAGGGCACATGCCTGGGTTGCAGGCCAGTTCCCAGAGGGGGACACACGAGAGGCAACCATACATGGATATTTCCCTTCCTCTCTCCTCTCCTTCCCTTCTCCTCTAAAGATAGATGAATAAGATCTTTTTTTTTAAGAATATTTATTTATATTTTTTAAGATTTTATTTATCTTTAGAGGGGAAGGGAAAGAGAGAAAGAGAGAAATATCAATGTATGGTTGCTCCTCATGAGTCCCCTGCTGGGAACTGGCCTGCAACCCAGGCATGTGCCCTGACTGGGAATCGAACCGAGTTTGTGTGGTTCGCAGGCCCGTGCTCAATCCACTGAGCTACACCAGCCAGGGCTTTGAATAAAATCTTTAAAAAAAAAAAAGGAAAAAAGAAAAAACCCAAAACATTTAAATCAGCCATCTGCAAAAATGACACAAACCAAAATATGTTTGGTTTTAGGAGTACCCCAAATCTAATTAAGGTAACCTAGGCAGTAAGTGGAACAAGGTTCTTAATCAAATCAATGGTAGAGTCTGATAAATGCCCTGGTTAGGTAAAAGCCCTCTGGGTAAGATGAAATGTTAGTAGAGTAGCTTCCTCTTACTTAATACAGAACACTTAGTACATGCCAGAAGCTTTACATACATTATTTTTTTTTCAATAGTCTATGGGGGAATTATTTATGAATGAGAAAACTAAAGCTTAGAGATGTTAATTTGCCTAAAGTTACTACTAGGGGACAGAGCTATGATTCAGACACATACCAGGACTCTACAAATGGTGTTCTTAACAAAGTAATTGAGTTTTTCAAATGGATCATCTGCAGAACTTTATTGTGCAATATTTTATTTAAAAGATATGTTCCATGGGCAAATCAGTTGGGAAATTCTGAGTGTTTACTGGAGTCTAGGATATCTCAGCCTTTATTATAAATCTGAACACCAAATAAAATAGCAAATGTATTGGTTGGCCTTTCTAGACCCTCTTTATCTTGTCCTTCCTCTTTCTAACTGCACAAAGTGAACAATTAATGGAAAATAATACTTCACGATGTAGACTAGATATAATAGGAGTTTATAATTACGGCGCTCAAAATGACTGATTTGAGGCTCAGCATTTAAAAAATGAATGTTTTTATGTAACAAAAATTAAACCATGTTTTTAAAAAAACTAACCTTAAATACATTGAATAATAGTTATAGTAAAGAATATGCTGTAAGAATGGGAATAAAAATTATTGGTTCCCTTTGGTACCACTAACTCAGAAGAATAGTTGTAAACAAGTAGGATGATGCAATCTATGACATAATTAGATTGTCATCAATCTAATTATGGGTAAACCACAATAGGTGTGTTCCTCAAAGAGGGTGCCAAGTATTTGTCCATGTCTATTAAAGCTACTGAGCAAATGGGTTGGCATGAATAGTTATATCCTTAATGTGCACATCATTAAGAGGTCGGTATGTCTTCTCATTTACTGGTAACTTCTCCAATTCATCTAGAGTCTCCAGACCATCTATTACCCTGAAAGAGAAACAAGATAATGAATGAAAATTTTCTCAGATTGAAAGACAATATCCTAATACCTATATCAATTATAGCATCTTTAAGAGAAAAGGACCACATCTCATAGTTCTTTGAATTCCCTAGCTGAGTGTACAATAAAATATTGATTTATCTACCATAGATATGGGCTAAAATTCAGAAATAAAAATTTGCTTTTATGACCTTAGACAACAATAGCAATGGGTTGGAATACTCCCACCAAAGTACCTAAACATTGTATTCTGCCCCATTTATACAGCATAGCTACAATGGGGCCAATATAAGTAGTCAGGTTTTCCTTGCTACAGGAAATACCCAGAGAAAGTATGTAAGGATGACACTATTATTATAAATACTGCCCTATACTGAATGTCTTTAAGTGTGTGGCCACTTTGCACGTAATAGCTTAAATATGGTGTTTTGAATTTTTGCTTTTGTATAGTAAGAAAAAGTAATAGTAATAAAAATAGGAAAAGGGAAGATGAAGTTAGGCCCGCTTGCAGCATGATCCCTTCATATTTCCATTAAGAAAAAAAAAATACTAAGAGCTAGCCTTCAAATATATTCTGAAGTTAGTTTAAAACATTTGCTTAAAAAAAGGTGGCTTCTTAGATTGTAACTCTTAGTAAAACTCAAGTCAGTTCTTGAACTGTATATATATTATATATTTACATTTAATATTGGGATTTCAGTAAAATGATACTGTAACCAAAACCTTTTGGTTACAGTCCATCACCACCACCCAGTCCATCTTGTTCAAGCCACTGTTTTTCAGATCTCTTAGTTGCTGCAAAATGCTATTCTCAGTGAAAACAGACACATTACTGTTAATTTGCATAATGAATCTAAAAAAATTATTAGCCCCTCTTTTACAAAATCAAGAAATTGAGGTGCAGCAAGGTTATAATTTCTCAAGGTCACAGGATTGGTAAGTGGTGGACTTAAATTCCAGCTATGTTTAGTTCTCATACTGCTCTCTTTCAGTATTAGTTATGCTACTATCACAGCCACTCATAATGCATCTCTTATAATGAAATTCCAAAGAAGAAAACCATAACCAGAATACTCACTTTCCAAATACTGTGTATTTCATGTCCAAATGTGGCTGCTTGCCATAGGTAATAAAAAACTGAGATCCATTGGTATTTGGGCCATTATTAGCCATAGATACAACACCTCTGACATTGTGCTGAAAAAGTTAGACCAAAGTATTAATTTGTATTTTAAATAAATATTCCAAGTACAGAACTGAAACAAGATGTACATTCCTTTACTTCCCAATACTTAAGAATCAAGAAAACAATCAGCTTCTATTCAGACTAACCCAAATGTTCAGTTGCTGTATTATTGTTATCTCTGAAAACTTATGTGTAAATTGTTTATATATCAAATCATATCCCCTAATTAATTTTATTTTCACTTTGGCGAAGCATAGCCACAAACACTTTTAGTAATAGTAATGTATAATAGAAATAATCCTTACGTTTATATTAAGGGACAGTGTACTGGTATGAAATGATCAGGCAGACAATAAAACCAAAATCCCCATAATCTCTTCACACATACACTGGACTCTGGCTAGTTTCTTTATCTGTAAAACAAGGGAGGTTGGACTAGTTGTGTGGTTTATTCAGAATTCAAATGCTAACCAGGGTCAGCAGATAATGAATTGATAAGTTGGCAGAATGTAAACATTAGGGAGTGATGGAGTCTGGCTACAGGAATAATATATCTCCTGCCTAATGCCATTTAAAAAACTCTTTTAACCAACGGCCATAGAGAATGCATTTATGTGTCTTCCACCCATTGGCAGTTAGTTCATAACCCCAGGACCAGATGATCTAAGGAAGGTCTCTTCCAGCTCAATATTCATGATACTATTTGTTATACAAGTGATACTATATAGAAATTAAAAGACTTTACTGATAAGATTGAAGACATGACAGACTCATGTTATAGGGAGGTACCTTGGTATAAAAATACACTATAAACAACTTTAATGGTTACTCTATCTTTAGTTATTCACCAGGGACACTGATGAGAGAAGCAACAGAGATATGTATTCCCCTATTCATTTTCACTTTGGAGAAGTACATACAAGCCTTTTAGCAATATCAATGTATAATAGATGCAGCTACATCAAGATATAAGTGCTTTACTGTCTCCTTAAAAGGTGACTACCAATCAAATGTAACCTTTGATACACACAAGAATATATATACCACTTGTAATAAAGTACCATTAACTTATTTCTAGACTTTAAGAATTAAGATTGAGTAAACTTGCATATGTTTCTGTGCTCCTATCATGTAGTACCTTAGCTTCTCCAAGGAGTAACCACTATTCTAATGTTTTTATACATGCCTACACAATATACACTTGAATGGGTCTTGAACATGGGTTTGAATTATGTGGATTCACTTATATTTTCTTAAATCTGCGGTTGGGAGTCTGCAGATTTAGAGAAAGAACTCTATGCATTGTACACACACTCCCTTGTTTTATATAAGAGACTTGAGCATCCCTGGATTTTGGTATCCACAGGGGTGGGGTAGGAGTATCCTAAAACCAATGCCCATGGATACTAAGGGATAAAAGTCATACATGGATTTTCAACTACACAAGGATTATAGGTACCCCTAACCCCTACATTGTTCAAGAGTCAACTATATTGTTTCCTTTTCCTTGTTTCTGAGCCCTATAAAATAGTATTGTACTATTTGTAGTCTTCTAGGCAATATTCTCTGTACTTACGTTTCTAAGATTCCTACATGTATATGTAGCTGTAGTTCTGATTTTTTTTTTACTAGTTTCTTTATCTGTAAAACAAGGGAGGTTGGACTAGTTGTGGGGTTTATTCAGAATTAAAATGCTCACGAGGGTCAGCAGATAATGAATTGATAAGTTGGCAGAATATAAACAATGTATACAGAATGCTGTATATTTCACTCCTGGATATACTACAATTTGTCCATTCTATGATCAATAGACATTTGGGTTGTTTTTAGCTCTTTGCTATTAAAATACTACTCTAGGAATACTTTTTTACATGTTTCCTGGTGCACCATATACATGTTTTCTAGGGTAAACACTTGGGAAAGGAATTGCTCATAGGGTATGTAAATATTCAAAACACATCCTCAACTCTGATGTATAAAATAGTGATTCTTAATCCTGGCTGTTGTGAGAAGCAACAGGGAACCTTAAAATATAATTAAGGTCCTGCCCTGGCTGGTGTAGCTCAGTGGATTGAGCACGAACCTGCGAACCAGAGGATCGCGGTTCGATTCCCTGTCAGGGCAAAGCCTGGGTTGCAGGCCAGTTCCCAGCAGGGGCCAGTTCCCAGCAGGGGAGGCACCAGAAGCAACCATACATTGATATTTCTCTCCTCTCTCCTTCCCTTCCCTTCCCTTCTAAAGATAAATAAATAAAATTTAAAAAAAAAAAAATATATATATATATATATAAAATCAAGGTCCCAATCAGTCCTATTGGCTATTTTTCTCTATATTCGTGGAGAAGAGTAGATAAGGCCCTAATTTGTTAAATTTTTAAAACTTACTGTTAAGTCTGTAACAACCAACATTGAAAACCACTAGTATAGGATTAGTGTTGTGAAAGCTGTTATTAATTAGTACCTAAAATGTTGTTTTCTTTCTAATTCAGGAAAAGAATGACTTTGTAAATAATTTACCATCTCCCAACCTCAATTCCTATAACAAAAGTAGTATTTCTTTATAAGAGAAAAGCAAAAACATAAACTAGTCTGACCATCCAGAGATAAACACTGCAGTAAACTTTTTTCAGAAAATGTCCAGCATATATTTTAATGTAACTGAAATATAACATACTAAATTGCTGATTGAGGGGAATTTGTCTCTTTTTTTCTAATTATAAAATTATTCTATACAGATACAAAGTTTAAAAGACTACATAATAAAGTGTTACTGGATATTATCTCTGGGCAAAGTTGAACTGATTTCTATTAAATAGGCATGCATTGTTTTTTTAACTTTGGAAAAAAATACAAGAAAATTCTTTTAAAAGTTTTAGAAAGCCCCAGCTGGTGTAGATCAGTGGATTGAACATGGACCTGCAAACCACAGGGTCACCAGGTTGATTCCCAGTCAAGGCACTTGCCTGGGTTGCAGGCCAGGTCCCCAGTAGGAGGCAAGCGAAAGGCCACCACACCCTGATGTTTCTCTCCCTCTCTTTCTCTTTGCCTTCCCCTCTCTCTAAAATAAATAAATAAATAAAATCTTTAAAAAATAAAGACTAAAAATTAAAATTTTTAGAAAAAAATACGATAAAGACGGTAAAAACCCCTAATCTTAACATGGTAAAGAAATATTTATATGCACTTCTTTTTAATCTTACAGAGCTCTACTGCAGGCATTAAGTAACATGAATATAGGAATATTCAAACATCCAACAGATGATGATAAAAGTTGGAGATTGATAATGGCAATATTGCAGCGAGAAGGTCTGACAGTCTTCCCTCCCCACTCTCAAAAAAGGCTAATGGTTCATGTCATTCAACATGAATTTCACAGTGAGACATCAAGCACGGTCAGTACAATATATTACTGATTAAACATTGCAGGCTGGACCCAAAGATGAGCTCACTTAATATCAAGATCCATGTGGTGGTGAGATTCCAAAATATATTTTAGGCTATATTTGCTATTTATAGTTGCTCTCTCTGATATCATCTATCAAGTGTGCAGAAACTACAAAAAAATGTATATCTGTTTACTAATGATGTTAACTTGTGTTATTACAACATATGTATCAAAGTTTCCAAGTGTATACATGGCATGAGAAAATAATTTTGAAGCACTGGTGATGTACCTTAAGATATTCACTATATTCATCCTCAAATTTCTTGCCCCAAATACTGTTACCTCCTCTTCCAGTACCTGTATTACAAAACAAATAAAAGAAGTATCTAATTAGAGAATGGGTTTATTTTCTAAAATTTAAGGGTTGGTTTAAAGTATAACTCTTTAAGTACAAATAAAATGTGATCTGTCTTCTCTCTCTTTTTTTTAAGTTTATTTTTTACTGTTTTCTTCCCCATTACCATTTAGGTAAGTCCACTCTTCCTCAAATTTCATTTGGTTTCATTATAGACCAGAAAAATAAAATCTCTATTAAAAAGCCCTCTTGCCCTGGCTGGTATAGCTCAGTGGATTGAGCACAGGCCTGTGAACCAAAGGATCGTGGTTCGATTCCCAGTCAGGGCACATGCCTGGGTTGCAGGCCAGTGCCCCGGTAGGAGACCCATGAGAGGCAACCATACATTGATGTTTCTCTCCCTCTTCCCTTCCCTTCTAAATAAATGAATAAAATCTTTAAAAAATAAGTTGGGTTATTTATCTTAAAAAACCTTCCTTATCAATATTATTCATATTTTAGAGCTAGTTGCTAATAGCTTCAGCTTAAAAACTGCTTGTTATTATAAGGTAGACCAATTGGAAAAACTATGTGCTTTTATTTTTCTATTCTTTGTCTACCCCCTTTCTTCTCACTATATAACCACTTCTCTGTATTTTAATGGAGGAACTTACCTGTGGGATCTCCTGTTTGAACCATGAAGCCCTTTATATTTCTATGAAATATACAGCCATTGTAGTAATTACTGGCACAAAGAGCCAGGAAATTCTGAAGAGAGTAAAAATAATGATTGAGAAATGATGTAGCAGAAACACATTTAAGATAAAGAATTAATTGTATTTACTGAAAACACTATAACCGCATATTTAAACTATGTCTTTTAGGCATTACTTTGGATGATGTCACTTCCCTGCCTAAAGCCCTTTAATGGCTCCCCTCAGTTTCTGGAATAAAATACAAAGTCCTAGACAGGATCTAGTAAGTCCTACATGACCTAGCCTACCTCTACATATCATATGATAATGACCCCTTCCATGTTGCTTACTATGTTAATCCCATCACCCTTCTGAAAATTCATCCCAAAGAGACAGGCTTTCCCATCTTGAGGCCTTTGTACCCACTATATACTGGGAATGTTCTTTTTATGTATCTTTTCATGGAGATGCCTTCATTACCTTTCGTATTCAGTTTAAGTATCACTATCTTGGCCAGGCCTACCCTCACATTCTTTTAAATAATTTTTCCCTATTATTATCTCTCTCTTTTAAAGATTTTTATTTATTTTTAGACAGAGGGAAAGGGAAGGAGAAAGAGAAGAAACATCAATGTGTGGTTGCCTCTCACTAGCCCCCTCCTGGGGACCTGACCCACAACCCAGGTATGTGCCCTGACTGGGAATCGACCTGGCAACTCTTTGGTTTGCAGGCTGGCATTCAATCCACTGAGCTACACCAGCCAAAGCCCCTATTACTCTATTTCAACATTGTATTACCTTCAAGGCATTATCACCATCTAGAATTTTTTTTTTCTAGAATAACTCTGCCTCCACCCCCTGCCTATCTTCCCACCTAGAACATTAGCTCCACAAGAACTAATGTCTCTTGTTCATCATTGTATTCCCAGATACTTCAGATACTTTCAAGACAGAATTTCATAAATAGCTGTTGAATGATTTTATATATATACATAGATGACTCTTCCTCCTTTTATCCTTGTCATTTGAACAAATGAAATAATGTAAGAGATAGTTCTCTTACCTAATATCTAGTGATTACTTGTATTTCCTAAGAAAAAAATGAACCAGAATAGAAATATACCAGCCACTCCCTTAAACATCAGGAAGAATAACTGGAAATTAGGCCAGAAATTATGATGGCTGGTTTTTCCTGACAATGGTTTTATACAAAAGCATTTCCCCCCTCTTTTGGGATGTTGTTGACTTTTTAAATTATTTAATTTCAAAGTGGTTATCCTGTTGCATTAACTCATTTTTTTATTTGTACACAACAGTACTTACTTCACAGGTTTTGGGTGTCCTCTCACAGAAGATTTCTATTTTAATATCACCTACATCTGTATGCAGTGTTACCGACTAAAAAGGAAAAAGAATGCAATAACAAATGAGATTTCTCCAGGGGACTTTATGCACTGTATTATTTTCCTAACTAGATATTAAAGATGACAATCTAAATAAAAATAGACAGAAATACTGTTTCAGAGGTGACCTGTCCACATAGCAGTTCTAAGAGATTAAATTGTAGTCCTTCAAAACTTACTTCACCAGTAGAAAAAAACTCCAGAAGATAAATATAAAGGTTAGGGTAAAGTGGTATTTATGCTAAAAATTAGGGAACAAATATTTTGATGGAAGTAATTATTTTAAGTTTGAATTTTTCAGCAGTAAAAATAAAAACAATTGTAATGTCAGAACTATTGATTTAAATGGCATTCACCATCATTGTTTACTGAAAATGGTAAAAGAATGACTTTCAAAACATAATTTTCACCATTCCCCTTGTGTAATTCAATTATGAGTGACAGGATTAAAAAATTGTTCCTCTTTCAATTAAAGACAGCATAAAAAAGCCATGTTTCTAGATTCTAAATGTGCAGAAGTAACCACAGTACTTTTTTTTCCCTTGGTTCTCTTTAGTCTGGCTTTCTGTTTGCTTTATCTGTTACTTTGGTAGCTTCAATACTCTTTTTTTAGTTATCCCACTGCAGAAAGAAGGAAAATTATTATTCTAGGGCTTCCTTTTACATTTCACTTCTTATTACAGTAGTATCTAGCTGTAATAAGATACAGGTTGAAGATACAAAGCAGAAGTTTGTGTGTGTGGTTGTGGGGAGGGGGGCATTATTCTAGTTGCTGTCTACTTCAAGTTCAAGCTGCCAACCTTAGAGATACAGAGCAAAAGTTTCCAATTAAAATTTCAACATCTGGATTATACCCTTCTGCTCCTCCTCCCCCTTTTCATCTCGATCTACCCTGTAATCAATCTTTTTCTTTTCTTTTTTTTTACATGAAATGTTAATGGATCTTCTTTTTAAATTTTTTAAAATTTATTTTAATTGTTGTTCTAATACAGTTTTGTCTTTTACTCCCATCCCAGCCCACCCCCCAATCTTTTTCTATAATGCATGTTTTAAGTGAAGATATAAATTTAAATAGTTTTGCTTTTTGTTAAGAACCATCTTTCACTGTATGCTTCTATAGCTTATCATTTCCCTGTCTTACCATTGATATTCCTGTTTTATTTCCCTTGACTGAATTTCTAAAATTTATTTATAAGAGAGACAATCATAAGAATTCTATAAAACTTACCATTTTTCTTCTTGATGGTTACTGCTACTTAATTTCTCACAGTCTTATCTAGAGAAGCTCAAAAACGAATCTCCATTCCCATAAGAAAAAAAATAATTAAGTTCATTTTTCATTCTTCTCACACATGCTTATTTTTACTACATATGTAAAAGAGAAAGTCTCGAAGAGCAGCCCCCTCCCCCAAATAATTAAAATCCGGTCGTGGAAGTGATGAAGAGATACTTACTACCCGACTTAGGCTTCTCAACCTCCTACTTCCCCTGTCCACTCGTCTTCAAGAGGCTCCTTGAAAGTCCTCCAACAAGCCAACTATCACCCATTACGGCCTTGGGTCTCTTTTCTGTGCGGCTATTTTCCTCCCCTCCAAGTCTGCTCCCAAGTCAGGTCTCACTGATTTGACAACTCTATTTTAAAATGCCTTGATCCTAGTACCTTCCCTGTTTTCTCTTCCCCATAACACTTATGTCTAATATACCATATACTTTATTAATTTAAGAGTGTTGTTTCAACATCACCTTCTCCACCCTGAACTCACTCGAATTAGCCCAAGAACTAAAACGCCCAACACTCTCCAAGTCCATTAAGAACAAGCGCGTTACCCCATACTTACTTGCCCACTTCGGTAAGCACAGCTGTTGCTAAAACTTTCGGAAAAGGTGAATTGCAGATGTCCCCCACAGGTGTATAGATTCGAAATTAGTTTCTTCAGGCCGCCGGAAGCCGAGCACCGGACCCATTAGCGAGAACACCTCTCGCGGACTCGCCTTCGCCGCCTCCCCGCTTCTAGCTCAAACCAAGACAAGTACAACTAGGGATACAATGTAATTTATCTCCACCGGTAACACTTTTGACGGTGAAAAGAAGGTCTTTTAACAGCACTAGGACGGAATCCTAACCCGGAACTACTTTAGGCAACCTCTAGAGGTTCCTCGGGCTCAGAAGTAAAATAGGAAGAACCACTTCCGTTCCCAGCCTATTCCCACAATGCTTTGAGGTACCCCGCGGTGTGGAAGTGACTCGCGAGGAGTGTTTCCGGGACTGGTGAGTCTTGAGCTATTTAAATTTACTGCGGGTCGTGGTTCGTGCTGGCTATGGCTGTTTTCCTAGTGCTCCCTCCAAAGGAGGCAGGAGAGGAGATAGGGGTAGAAAACTGGCTTGCTGCATGAGAGCGTGGGACTCTTGGAGCAGGGGTTTTGAGTCGGGCTTACCGGCGGTGCCTCCTGGGCTCTTCATTATCCCGGCAAAGGCCTGAATGTAGACGAGGAAACGTAAAAAGGTGCAGTTTGCAGACTGTAAAGTGGGTCCTACTTAGTAACAAACAGTGCTGACTCTAGGTCAGGTATTGTCGCCAACTCTACGTTTAAAGCATGTGACACTATGACCCTGGCATTACCAATTCTTAAGAGGTGTAAATTTGCTGTCTGTGGCTGTGGAGGTCAGTGTGATTTAAAGTCGGTGCTCTTATTCATCATGCTGTGCCGCCTCCCATTGTTAACTGGCATCAAGCGACACATTTCCTAATCTGAAATGAGCGGCGTTCTGTTATTTACAAGGGCTCTTTCAAATGTAACAATAAGTAACACAAGGATGGATGGCCCACTAAAGTTTCCCTTTCACTCTTGCCAGATTTAGAGTCTGGAGAGTGAAATACTATCAGGACGTGAAATCTGCAAAGTGAAAGTGGTGTAAGGACATTAGGTGATCTTCCAGGACCCTAGGCCCAGGTGGTTAATTCTATTTTAAAATATATTTTATTGATTATGCCATTACAGTTGTCCCATTTCCGCCCTTCATTCTCCTCCACCCTGCACACCCCTCCCCCCACATTCCGCCCCTTTAGTTCGTGTCCATGTGTCACAAGTTCTTCAGCTTCTACATTTCCCACACTACTCTTGCCCTCCCCCTGTCTATTTTCTACCTACCATCTATGCTACTTATTCTCTGCACCTCCTCCCCCCTTCTCCTCCTCCCACTCCCCTGTTGTTAACCCTCCATGTGATCTCCATTTCTGTGGCTCCTCTCCTGATCTAGCTGTCCACTTAGTTTGCTTTTGTTTTAGGTGTGGTTGTTAATAACTGTGAGTTTGCTGTCCTTTCACTGTTCATCTTTTTTATCTTCTTTTTCTTAGATAAGTCCCTTTAACATTTCATATAATAAGGGGTTGGTGATGATGAACTCCTTGAACTTGACCTTATCTGAGAAGTGTTTTATCTGCCCTTCCATTCTAAATTAAAGCTTTGCGGGACAGAGCAGTCTTGGATGTAGGTCTTTGGATTTCATGACTTGGAATACTTCTTTCCAGCCCCTTCTTGCCTGTCAGATCTCTTTTGAGAAATCAGCTAACAGTGTGATGGGAACTCCTTTGTAGGTGACTGTCCCCTTATCTCTTGCTGCTTCTAGAATTCTCTTTTAATCTCTCCTTCATTTTAATCTTGAGTAATGTAATGATGATGTGCCTTGGTGTGTTCCTTTTTGGTTCCAACTTCTTTGGGACTCTCTGAGCTTCCTGGACTTCCTGGAAGTCTTATTTCTTTTTCCAGATTTGGGAAGTTCTCCTTTATTATTTGTTCAAATAAGTTTTCCACTTGTTGCTCTTCCTCTTCCCCTTCTGGTACCCCTGTGATTCGAATGTTGGAATGTTTAAAGATGTCCTGGAGGTTCCTAAGCCTTTCCTCATTATTTTGAATTCTCATTTCTTCATTCTTTTCTGTTTGGTTGTTTTTTTGTTCCTTCTGGTCCACTCCATTGATTTTAGTCCCAGTTTTCTTTCCGTCATTATTGGTTCCCTGTACATTTTGCTTCATTTCACTTAGTGTAGCTTTAATTTTTTGTCTAATTTGCAACTAAAATCAACCAGTTCTCTGAGCATCCTGATGACCAGTGTTTTTGAACTGTGCCTCTGATAGGTTGGCAATTTCTTGTTCGCTTAGATTTATCGGCTCTGGGGCTCTGAGTTCTTCTTGAGCCATGTTTTGGTCTGTTTGCGCCTGTTACGTTTGAGGAGAAGCGCCTTAGGTGTTCACCAGGGCGGAGCCACCCAGGTCGCTGGTTTGTGACACTGTATGTGGGGGTAGGGCCAGAGAGGGAGCAATGGCGGTTTTTTCACTCTCTCAAATTTCGGTTTCCTCTGCTGCTTCCTACAAGCAAACTTGTCCCTTCTGGTGCTGGTACTCGGGTGGGTGGGCTTTTGTACGTTCTAGGACCCTGTGGGTCTCTCCAACAAATTCTCCTGTGAGGCTAAGAGCCTCTCCCAGCGCTTTATTTCCCATCGCTGGGGCACTGGGTTGCGTGGTCTGTCTTACTGTCTGTTTTTTTGCCCGGTCTATCTGTGCACGAATGTGTGTCCACGGTCAGCCAGCCTCCTTGTGAGCCTTACTCGGTTTCTGTCCCTTGCCCGACCTGGTGTGCTAACCGCTGCCTTTTCCTGCTGGGACCCCTCTATGCCCGCCGCAACTCCACCCCTTTTACTCGTCTGGATGAATGGTTCATTGTTGTCAGACTTTGGTACAGTTCAGTTTTCTGTCTGTTTTGGTTGTGTTTTGTTTCTAAATCTTTGTTGTCCTTAAATTTGATCGTGCGAGGAGGTTCAGTGTTTCTACCTACACCTCCATCTTGGCCGGAAGTCTGTAGAAATGTTTTAAAAATTGCTTTTGAAATCATTGGATTATGAATATTTAAATTTACGGCTGGCTATGCTTTCTCTTAATTATTGTGCGTACTATTGTATGAATTGCTTTTCTTCAAAAACAGAAGTGTTCATGGGTACCAATTTTAAGAATGGAGTTGACAGTGTTATCTTTTGTGGATACTTCAGTCTAGAGAGCTTACAGACTCTGGGCACTCTGCCACCTTAGAGCTTGGCCTTCCTGTAGCAGGTGTTGGTTCAGGGGCAGAAGCTCTGCCTTTTCCTGCCTTGACCCTGCCCATTTGGAGTGACATGCCTATGCATCTTATGAAGCACTTAACTATTTACATATATTGTTATTTTTTTATAAAGTACTTATTCATATGAATATATACCACCCAAACTCCAAATTCTGCTGTGATGAGATAGGGGGACCGTGTCAGTGTGTGCAGTAAGCATTTAATGCTGGCCTGTGTTGGTGATACTGAGATATATAAAGGATAGTTACTGTTTTCTGGGGGCATTAGTATACTGGGGAGACAGACAAAGAGGAATATAATATTATGAGGGTACGAGGGCAGAATAGGGCCAGACAGGAAGTAGGGAGACACTGAAAAGGAAGGTTTGTCAAGAAAGGCTTTATTTAGGAAGTTGAAGGGGATTTGGAAGGAAGAGTAATATTTAGAGAAATGGAGAAGGCAAGAGAAATGGGGATTGAAATAGGGATGGGAAGAACAAGAACAAGGCTGTGGTAGGGGCTGGGGAGAGCGGGGTAACCATTCGTGTATCGTGTGCCAGGCTTCTGCCAGGTGACTCATACATATTAATCCATTTGCTCTTCTGGACGGTCTGTGAAGTAGGTTGTAGTGTTTCCATTTTATACATGAGGAAGCAGGCTCAGTGGTTAAATGACTTACCTAAGGTACTGCATGCTGGTAAGTGGCAGAGGCAGTATCTGAAACCAGGTATGTATGACTGTAGCTCTTTTGCTCATATTTTGCAAAGGTCCAGGCCCAAAGTGTACATTTGTAGCATTTTCTGTATTTTGACTTCAGATACTCAGTTTTACCTGATTTCTGCATGTTGTCATCTCACACACGACTGATCCCCACAACAGTCCAGCTTGTTCGATCCCTGATCCACAATCCTTCCTGTTCCTGCATGGATTTGAAGGCTCTCCTTTCCTCCTTGAATGACTTTGCATCCCTCTCATTTGCTGAGAGTTGGGACAATGTCGGATTACTGGTGGAACCAAGCCCACCACACACTGTAAACACACTCTTCCTCACCAATGACTTGACCGAAGAAGTGATGGAGGAGGCGCTGCAAAAAAAAGCTGATTTCATTCTCTCCTACCATCCGCCTATTTTCCGACCCATGAAGCGCATAACCTGGAAAACCTGGAAGGAGCGCCTGGTGATCCGGGCTCTGGAGAACAGAGTTGCCGTTTACTCTCCTCACACAGCCTATGATGCCGCACCTCAGGGAGTCAACAACTGGCTGGCTAAAGGGCTTGGTGAGAAGCCTCTTCATCTCTCATGTTTCATATTTTTCCCTATAAATGCTTTGAAATTTTAGAATGTCTTTGCAGTAGAATTTTAACCACTTTAGGTGTGGGACCATTATTCTGTGTTTACATAATATATTTAAAAATAATGTTGCTGAGCCCTGGCTGATGTAGCTCAGTGGATTGAGCGTGGGCCTGCAAACCAAAAGATCGCGGTTCAATTCCCAGTCAGGGCACATGCCTGGGTTGCAGGTCAGTTCCCAGCAGGGGCCAGTTCCCAGCGGGGAATGCACAAGAAGCAACCATACATTGATATTTCTCTCCCTCTCTCCTTCCCTTCCCTTCTCTTCTAAAGATAAATAAATAAATAATTTTTAAAAATAAATTTAAAAAAATAATGTTGCTGAAATCAGGCAGTTAAATTGCATTTGAAAAATAAATTATTATTATTATTCCTGAATAAGGAGACCACAGGAAATCTTAACTGCTCCACTCAGCTTTGTGATTCCTCACTCATGTAGTATAGTACCTACCACTTAAGCATTCCAAAGTGCTTGTTACATTGAATTGAAAGCTCAGGCTTCTCCAGAATATACTTAATATATCACTCAAATAGACATCAGAGTTTTAGTGAGGGAATTCAGCATACGTGTTTTAGCTTTATTTTGAATAAGTGTTTATAGTTTGCTCACTCATTTTGTCCTGAAGTTTTTATCAAGATATAATCGGGATTGACGTAGTCAGGTGGGTATGAACATTTGCACCTTGAGTCTTTCTTGTCCAAATATTTTTGATATTTAACAGTCTCCTAGAAAGTAATTCTGAAAATACATTTGATTTTGTATATTTGTATTAAATCCCTCATTTTGGGTACTGTTGGATATATGTGTAAGGGATATGTATATGTGTGTATAGTGTATAAACATCTGACAATGAATTTTTTTAAATACTAATTTTTTATGTTATGCCTATAATAGTTTATCTTTTTAATTTTAAAAGATGACAAAAACTCTGTTATCCTACAATTTTTTCCTAGGAGTTTGCACCTCCAGGCCCATACATCCTTCCAAAGCACTTAACTACCCAACAGAGGGAACACATAGAGTAGAATTTAATGTTGACCACACCCAGGACCTAGACAAAGTCATTTCTACAGTGAAAGGAATTTCAGATGTTTCTGTCACCTCTTTTTCTGCTAGGTCAGTATATTTTTCTCTTTTTTGGTGGATATTTATTTGTTAAGGATCTTCTTACAAATTCTGTAATTCTGGCATTTGTGTTTGAAACAAATTATTTTCACTGGCATGGGTTTACAAAACTATGTGCTTATTATTTGAGTCCTCAAGGAGAACTACAGGAGCTTTTCAAAACAATAAAAATGATAACACTATTTCATGGGTGGGAGGGACTAAATTATACATATTATATACAGTATTTCTCATATTCCTGGTAATGGTGAATAGTTGTTTTATACTTCAGGGTATAGGCATACCCCAGAGATAATGTGGGTTTGGATCCAGACAAGCATAACGGAGTATAATAATAAAGTAAAGAAAGTAATATAGTAATCTTTTTGCAGGTGGAGGTTCTTGCTTTCATTTTATAAAAAAACACACCTCTGAAGCTCAATAAAATGAAGTATATCTGTATATAGATAAACTCTGGTGACATACTGACAACATAGGTTTACTTTTATCAGCTCCCAGCAATCTGTGATTCCCAAGCCCTTTAAAGGAAAAATACATTACGGTGCCTCTTATAAGAGGCATTTATTTGTTTAGGACAGGTACCAAAATGTTGCTTCATAGCAGATTTTCTTTTAGGTTAATTTATCTTATAAAAGACAACTTAGCCCTGGCTGGTGTGGCTCAGTGAATTGAGTGTCAGCCTGTGAACCAAAAGGTCAGTGGTTCTATTCTCAGTCAGGGTACATGCCTGGGTTGTGTTCTAGATTTCTGGCTGGAGTGTGTGAGAGGCAACCAATTGATGTTTCTCTCCCTCTCTTTCTCCCTCCTTCCTTTCTCTCTAAAAATAAATACATAAAATCTAAAAAAAAAAGTTAGACAAACCTAGGATTTAATAATTGTTAAAAAAAGGTAAATATAATGACTTTTAAATAAAATGGAACTCTGTGTCAGGCTATACCAAAAAGTGACGTTTTTGACTAGTTGCTTAAGTATAGATACCTCATAGTAAAACCATTGCAAATGTCCTCTAACAGGACATCCGGTTCTTGAAATTGGAGAATTTCAAGAATTTCTAGAAAAGTTATTTATAGGATTTTACATAGATTCTAGTAATGGACTTTTTTTACCGTATTGAAATACTGTGCAAGTACTGAAATTAAAAGAAAAATTATACAAGTAAAGCATGAAAAAATTAAACAATACAAAAATCCTCCTTGTCCCTTCTACTTAATCCCAGTATCTTCAACTCAAGCTGCCTTTTTTCTCACTTTCAGAAAGGTGGGTATCTTTCCAAGCACATATAGAGACATGAAGAAATGTATAGTTTTGTTTTATTCATTGTTCTCTTAATTAAATGGTACAATATATTTACCTTTTTACTAAGAAGATATCTCAGATCTTTCCATGTAGGTATATAAAATAAGATCTCTTTAACTGCTGAGTAATGTTTCTTATGGATGTACTGTCAATTCTTTAAGCATTCCTCTTCCTTACTGTTGAACTTAAAAAAAAGAAATTTGCATATTTAGTTTGGTTCTGGTTTTACTGTTCTACAGGCAATAACTGGGTTTCACCATCAGTCAGGGTCCAGTCATTGTGTTTGCTTTTTCTTCTCAGTGCTCCACAGATGATTACAGTTTGACAACTGCACGTCCAGATTATATTTTAAGATGCCTTTTAGTTCTACAATAGAATTTTATATTTAGAGTTTATGATTAAATACAGAACTTTTTAAAAAATATTTATTTATTTTTTAGAGAGGAAGGGAAGGAGAGAAATATCAATGTATGGTTGCCTCTCGTGAGTCCCCTGCTGGGAACTGGCCCGCAACCCAGGCATGTGCCCTGACTGGGAATCGAACTGCGATCGTGTGGTTCTCAGGCCCACGCGCAATCCACTGAGCTACACCAGCCAGGGCTTTAAATACAGAACTTTCTTTAAAAATATTATTTATCTCCCCCCGCCCCCCAAGAGAGTGGGGAATGAGGGAGAAAGAAAGGGAGAGAAATACCAATAGATTGGTTGCCCCCCACATGCCCCCAACTGAGGACCTGGGCCTCGACCCAGGCATGTGCCCTAACAAAGAATGGAACGGGCAGCCTTTCAATTTGCAGGCTGGCACTCTGTCCACTGACCCTCACCAGCCAGGGCCAGAACTTTCTTGATGCCAGTCTTTCTGGAGCAGCTCAACAGCGTTGCTTCTCAAAGGGTGATTCAGGGTCCCCTTGCATCATTGTTAATAGGGTACTTATGAAAAATGTAGATTTTTGGCTTCATCCCAGGTCTATGTAATTAAAATGGGGTTTCCCTGAGGATTTGTCCAGGAAATTCTTGTGTGCAGTGATGTTTGAAAATTACTTCTCCAGGGCTTCAAAACAAATTCAGTTTGCCTCAGCCCATTCATAGATGTTGTTTCACTGGATCTGTGAAAGGGTCCAGCAGCTGTCATTTTAGGAGGCAATGCATGACTGGGTTAGGAACAGTTAGAGCAGTGATTTCAAGGTAAGGTCTTTGGGTCAGCAACATCCACATCATGGGGAACTCACTAGAACAGTAAATTCTCAGACTTCACCTAAACCTACTGAATCAGAACAGGGGGTAGGGCCCAGCAGCCTATGATTTAAATCATCCACAAGGTGATTTTGGTGCATTCTTAAGTTTGAGAAACAAGCCCTGGCTAGTATGGCTCAGTGGATTGAGCACAGGCCTGTGAAGCAAAGGGTCACAGGTTCAATTCCCAGTCAGGGCACATTTCTGGGTTGCAGGCCAGGTCCCCAGTAAGGGACACATGAGAGACAACCACACATTGATGTTTTTGTCCTCTTTCTCCCTTCCCCTCTCTCTAAAAACAAATAAAAAAATTTTAAAAAGAACAAAATTATTTTTAAAATAAATAAAGTTTGAGAAACACTATTCTAGAAAATAATCTGGTTTCAGATTAAATTCTAAATACCATATACATCTAATCTGTTGTAGGAGATCGTGAAAGATTATTTAAAATACATTTTGTTTATATTTATCCTAAACCAGTGAGTGATTTTTTTTCTAGGACTGATGATGAAGAACAAACACGGATCAGTTTGAATTGTAGTCAGCAGGCATTGGTGCAGGTGGTGGCTTTTCTTTCCCAGAACAGTCAGCTTTATCAGAAGACTGAAATTCTGTCACTAGAAAAGGTAATACAAATATCTTACATCGCTGAGCATTTTTGTTTGGCAAATTCACTTGTAAATTGTTAGATCAGTAGGCTATTAACTTATTGGAAGAAGCACTAAGTGATGATGAGGGCATAGTTCCTGGAAAATACATTCAGAAGGGGAGACATTCCAGGAATAGAATAATGTTGGTCCTTGCCTTATTGGGCTGCTTCCACCCATTTGGGCTACTGTAACAAAATACCACAGACTGGATAGCTTATAAACAAATTTATTTCTCCCAGTTCTGGAGACTGAAAAGTCCAAGATCACAGCACTGGCAGGTTTCAAGTGGTGTCTGGTGAGAGAGCCCACTTTTAATTCATAGATGTACCTTTTATGTTCTCAGATGCTGGGAGGGACTAGGGATCTCTCTGGACTGTCTTATAATGCGCAAATTCCATTTGTGTGGGTTTTACCCTCACGATTTAAAGCACTTCCCAAAGGCTTCACCTCCTAATACATTTAATGGTTAGGTTTTCAACATGAGTTTTGGGAGAACAGAAACATTCAGAGCATAGTTGTAGTCGTCAGGAATACTCTTTTATAGTTTGGTCTCTTATTTTATGCCCTCTGCCTGAACCCTTTTATTCATTCCTTTAACTTAACAGCCATTTGTTATGATGATTCCTACGTCTTTACTTTCTGACTCAATATGATTTAAGGTGAAAAATTAAAAAAAAACCATATTTCCAACTAGTTTCTAGACATTTTCCATTTACACATCCCACAAGTATTTCAATGACAGTATATATAAATATTGACCTTATCCTCACTTTTCTTTTTCCTGTTTCATCAGTGGCATCATCATCTACCCTATTTTCCAAGTTTCCACAACACTCCCTGCCCCTGTAAATCCAAGCCCTGCTGATTCTGTACCCAAACCTATAAAATATTTCTCCTCTCTATTTACTTTGCCACCACAGAAGTTGAAAACTTCCATATTCTCTCACTTGGAGTGTGAATGATCTACTAAGTGAGCACACACAGGAGACAATGCAGACTTAGTGTACGAAGCATTTCAAGACTGGCCATGGCCCGCATCTCCAGCTGCTTCTCAGTCACCATTCCCTGCTCTGCACACCAGCGATACTGCTTTTGGATCTGTCTTCAGTGTGCTCTCATACCTTTGAACGTGTTCCCTGGTTAAACATCTTTCCACCTCACTCTCCCCTGTCCTTCCACACTGCCCTTGATGTCACTTCTCTTTCAACTCCTTTCTTGTCTGTCTGCAAGACTCAAGTTCTTGTGAAACCTTTGATTCTCCTTTTTCCAAGTATCCCCACCCCCAAGACCCATTTCATTTGTTTTATCATTCCTTTCTGTTCTCATTAAAAAATAGTGCCTGCCTCGTATTTAAGCACACATTATTATTTATTTAAATATCAGCCTTACCAGTAGACTATGATTCCTTAGAAGTCAGAGAATATTTTTGTGAGATTTGGGTACAAACTTCAGCCTGGAGCTGGCTGTAGTGAGCTCACAGTATACGTTACATTGGTCTCAGCATTTGCTGTTTGTTCCATCAGTGTGCTTTCTAGGACTGATGATGGACAGTTTTTCTGACTTCTGTTTCTCCTCAGCCTCTGCTTCCCCACACTGGAATGGGACGGATATGCACACTGGATGAACCTGTCTCCTTGGCAACCATGGTTGAGCGAATCAAAAAGCACCTAAAACTGTCTCATATTCGCCTTGCTCTTGGGGTAGGGAGGACCTTAGGTAAATGTCTCTTATTTGTCCAGTATACATACTGTTCATGTTAGGCAAAAGCTGGAACTCTTGGCTATTAATGTAAGTGAACGAAAGCCTGTTAGCAGTCACAAGAATGACTGACTGGTTTGTTATCAATCAGGGTAATCTAGGTCGTGCTGTGGTAAACATCTCATTGGCTTTGACAATATTTATATTTCCATTACACTCTGTTCATCTCAAATCAATAGGGGAAATATGCCCATTGTAGGCTGGTTACTGTTGCAGAGGGAAAGTTTTAAAGAATCTTAAACAATCATTCTAGCCTAGAAATGAATTTATGTATGGGGGCGACTTTCCCTGCAAATCCCCCCATGTGCCACAGATGAGAATAATCATGACTGAGACATGATGTGATCTGTTTGGGGAGGAGAAGTGGCCATTTTCCCAGAGGAAAAAGGCTGTGGGCAGTGGCCAGTTTTTCAGGGGAAAAAGGCGTTGAGCTCCCTCCTCCAGGGGCTTTTATTGGGTTGTAATACACAAGAATACAGGGCGGCAAGGATCAAACAGTAGATAACATTTCAAAGAAATCTGAGGGCTTCAGAGTCTGTGAGGAACAGAGTTTTAGTGTTTCCTGCTCAAACCCTTAACATATGAATGAAAGCACTCTTAGCAGAGCAGATTTCACAGGTTTATCAGGAAGTCTTTGTGATGTCAGATTGTTCCCCAGGACATGCTCTAGCAAGGCAAGGAGCTGCACCTCTCCCCATCAGGTATTCAGGCTTAAGGGGATTAGAGCCAGGAAGCGCTTCTCCCAGAGAACATGGGGACTTGGGCTATGTCAAAGCTGGGAGGCAAGAGTCTATTGCTCTTTGTTGCAGCCCCCCGAGTCCTTCTATGAAGGCCTCCCAGGTGATCGAGTCTGGCTTAGGTTGCCCCCTGCTGTGAGGGGGTCTTACCCATCATTGACTTCCAACTTAGCTTTGGGGGCAGAGAGAGGAAACTGAGGCAGTGTTTGCTACCAGAGACAAGCTTTGTCTCCTGCAGCTCACAGACCCAAAGGTCACCCCTCACCCTTAGCCACAGGGGTTGAGTTACAATTCCTAGAACCAGGCAGAGCGGTCTGCAACACTTATGTTTAACTCATAGTTCAGAGTTAGTCACATTGCCCATTCTAACCCAAGTTGGGCATGAAGTACCATCCTACCATGTGCCAGGAAATTATGACATATCCAATTGCCATGTGAATCTCGGCATTTTACAATACTGGTGATATTTTATACTGCAGTGCTACTAAGTGAATTGACTCACTGCAGTTCCTGAGTGTTGTAGACACTTCCTTGTCTTTTGGCTTTTCCCATTATTTGGGGGAACAGAAGGAGTGAATAGGACATTTGTTGGACCCCTGCAATTTGCCTAGTACTGTACTGAGTGTCTGAAGTATGTGAGCTCCTGCTGCAAAGGAGACCAGAGGTTGTGAATTCTGAGTGTCTTGGGTTCAAATTTATCTGTCCTGTTTGCTGCATGACTTTGACAAGTTATTTAACCCCTTTGTGTCTTGGTAGCCATGTCTGTAAAAACTAGTAATAATGAAAACCTAATTCAGTAAGGTAGATGTACCTAGTCGAAGTGACAGGGCACAGTGACTGGTATACATTGAGTGCAGCAAATGCTAACTATTAGCCCTGTGGTACGTATTAGTGTTTCCACTGCACCAGTAAGAACAGTGAGGTTCAGAGAGTTAAGTAACTTACCGCAAGTCCATAGTTGGATCAAATAACAAACGAGTTAATTCCCAAAGAAAGTAGTTGGCAGAGGTGGTATTTGACTTCTGATCCAACTTCAAAGCCCCTCCTTTGAAATAGCACTATTGCAATCTAGGATGACCACTAATGAAGTGTCCACCCGGGAAACCTAAGTGCTAAATACTTGTTACATTTTGCTTGAAAGTTTCTGCTATTTTACTCTTTTGAGGATGCTCTTTTTAAAGTAAATACAGTATTTAAAAATGTGTCAAACCCATTTTAAGCGTTCCTCTAACTAGTTCCTCTGCTTCCTCACCTGAGAACTGACATAGTACATGCCTACTTCTCCCTGTTGCCTGGGGACCCAGGTGAGGTTACTTTACCTAGTACTGTGCCAGTGAGGTCTGGTGCTGTCCTGTTCAGCGGTGCCTTACATGGGCTTGTGCAGCCATGTACATCCAAGGGGGGGATAATAACCTTGCCCTGGGTTAGCTACGCAATACCAAAGAATAATCTGTTAGCCTATATGAACACATGTTTTGTTGCTTTTTAAAATTCAGTGAGCAAAATTCATATACTGGTGATGAGACCAGGAGTGAAATCTGCATTAGGATTCTTGGTGCAAATTCTAACATTAAAATGAAGGCGAACTGTAAAGTACTGGTCTCTTGTTTCCTTTATCTTGGAGCATCCCAAGTCAAAGTTGTGGCTCTGTGTGCTGGTTCCGGGAGCAGTGTTCTGCAGGGGGCAGAAGCCGACCTTTACCTCACAGGTAGGACAGCCTTGGGGTCTTTTATCTACATTTTTGCATATCCTTTCCCAACCTTGGTTTCTTCCTTCCTTCCTTCCTTCCTTCCTTCCTTCCTTCCTTCCTTCCTTCCTTCCTTCCTTCCTCCCTCCCTCCCTCCCTCCCTTCCTTCCTTCCTTCCTTCCTTCCTTTCTTCCTTTCTTTCTCTCTTTCTCTCTCTCTCTCTCTTTCTTTCTCTCTTTCTCTCTCTCTCTTCTTTCTTTCTCTCTCTCTTTCTTTCTTTCTTTCCCTTCCTTCCCTCCCTTCCTTCCCTCCCTTCCTTCCCTCCCTTCCTTCCCTCCCTTCCCTTCCCTCCCTTCCTTCCCTCCCCTCCCTTCCCTTCCCTCCCTTCCCTTCCCTCCCTTCCCTTCCTTCCTTCCTTTTCTTTTCTAGATTTCATTTATTGACTTTTAGAGAGGGGAAGAGAGAGAGAGAGAGGTAGAGAAACATCAATGTGTGGTTGCATCTCACGCGCCCCCCACTGGGGACCCGGCCCGCAATCCAGGCACATGTCCTGACTGGGAATCAAACCCACAATCCTTTGGTTCCTAGGCTGGCACTCAGTCCACTGACTCACACCAGCCATGGCCCAACCTTGGTTTCTTTTTACAAGTGAATAAATAGCAAATTTTAGGACAGCACCTGGCATATAGATGGATCTAATAAATGCTTTTTGAACCTGAACTAAATAGGAACTATACCAAAATTGGAGACATACCGTATTCTTTGTGGCGGGGGAAAAATCATTTAACAGTTTATTAGAATATTTTTAAATACTGGTGTTTAGCATTTATTTGTTTGTTTATTTATTTTTAGTATATTTTCTTGATTATGCCATTACAGTTGTCCCATTCCCCCCTTCATTCCCCTCCATCCTGCACACCCCCTCCCCCGCCATTCCCCCCCTTTAGTTCGTGTCCATGTGTCACAAGTTCTTAGCTTCTACATTCCCCATACTATTCTTGCCCTCCCCCCTATCTATTTTCTACCTACCATCGACACTACTTATTCTCTGTACCTTCTCCTCCCTTCTCCTTCTCCCACTCCCCTGTTGCTAACCCTCCATGTGATCTTCATTTCTATGGTTCTGCTCCTGATCTAGCTATCCTCTTAGTTTGCTTTTATTTTAGGTGTGGTTGTTAATAACTGTGAGTTTGCAGTCCTTTCACTGTTCATCTTTTTTATCTTCTTTTTCTTAGGTAAGTCCCTTTAACATTTCATATAATAAGGGGTTGGTGATGATGAACTCCTTGAATTTGATCTTATCTGAGAAGCACTTTATCTGTCCTTCCATTCTAAATGAAAGCTTTGCTGGATAGAGCAATCTTGGATGTAGGTCTTTGGATTTCATGACTTGGAATACTTCTTTCCAGCCCCTTCTTGCTTGTAAGGTCTCTTTGAAAATTGAGAAATCAGCTGACAGTCTGATGGGAACTCCTTTGTAGGTGACTGTCCCCTTATGTCTTGCTGCTTCTAGGATTCTCTCCTTCATTTTAATCTTGGCTAATGTAATGATGATGTGCCTTGGTGTGTTCCTTCTTGGGTCCAACTTCTTTGGGACTCTCTGAGCTTCCTATATTTCCTGGAAGTCTATTTCCTTTGCCAGATTGGGAAGTTCTCCATTATTATTTGTTCAAAAAAGTTTTCCACTTGTGGCTGTTCCTCTTCCCCTTCTGGTACCCCTATAATTCGGATGTTTGGAATGTTTGAAGATGTCCTGGAGGTTCCCAAGCCTCTACTCATTGTTTTGAATTCTTGTTTCTACATTCTTTTCTGTTTGGTCATTTTTTTCTTCCTTCTGGTCCGCTCCCTTGATTTGAGTTCCAGTTTCCTTCCCATCACTATTGGTTTCCTGTGCATTTCCCTTCATTTCAATTAGTTTAGCCTTCATTTGTTCCTCTAATTTGTGACTAAAATCAACCAGTTCTGTGAGCATCCTGATAACCAGTGTTTTGAACTGTGCATTTGTTGGTCACTTAGAATTATCAGCTCTGGGGCTTTGATCTGTTCTTGAGCCATAATGTTTTGGTCTGTTCGTGCCTGTTATGTATGAGGGGCGGAGCCTTAGGTGTTCACCAGGGCGGGGCAACCTAGTTTCTGGATTGTGATGCTGTATGTGGGGGCAGGGTCAGAGAGGGGCAGTGGCGTTTGTTCTGCTCTCTCTTGGATTTTGGTCCCCTCTGCTGCTTCCCACAAGCAAACCTAGTCCCCCTGGTGCTGGCTCCTGGGTGTATGGGCCTGTGCACCTTCCAGGACCCTGTCTCTCCAACAAGTTTTCCTATAAGCCTGGGAGCCTATCCCGGCACCTAGACCCCAGAAGTTTTTCCAATTGGTGCTTTCAGGTTCTAACTCCCGCTGGATTGTGCAGTCTGTCTCACTGCTCACTCCTTTGCCTATTTTATCTGCGTGCAAATGTGTGACCACGGTCAGCCAGCCACCTTGCACCCCCACTGGGTCTGCCTATTGTCACCCCACACCTGCAATCCACCAACTGCCACCTGTACTCCTGGGTCAGTCAGGCTGCTTTTGCCTGCCTGACCCCGCTCCACCAGCCGCTGACTCCACCCCTCTTACTGGTCTGGCTGAATGGTTTGTTGTTGTTGGACTTCTGTACAGTTCAATTTTCTGTGTTTTGGTTGCATTTTTATTACAAAAACTGTGTTGTCTTTAAACTTGGTTGTGTGAGGAGGCACAGTGTTTCCACCTACACCTCCATCTTGGCCAGAAGTCCTTGTTTAGCATTTATTTAACCCATCTTCATTGTAAACATGATTTCTCTCAGATTTCATGTTACTTTCTATGCCTGAGGTAGAAAATGGTGCCTCTTACTCATCCCCAAATCAGTCATCAGTTCCTATGAGTTCTAGCTCCAGAATTTTTATAGGACCTTTCCTGTTATCTCTCTCCAGGCATCATCTCCTATTTGAAGAACACCATCAAATTTCTAATCTTAATCTTCCACACACTCCCCCAAATTTAACTTTTTTCTTCTTTTTTTAAATTATATTTTATTGATTATGCTATTTCAGTTATCCCAATATTTCTCTATTTGCCCCCCTCTACCCAGTACCCCCACTGCCTCAGGCAGTCCCCACACCATTGTTCATGTCCATGGGTCATGCGTATAAGTTATTTGGCTATTCCATTTCCTATACTGTACTTTACATTCCCATGGTTATTCTGCAAACTACCAATTTGTACTTCTTAATCCCCTCACCTCTTCACCCATTCCCTTACATCCCCCTCCTATCAGGCAATCTTTTCCTTAAAAACGTCCCTTTAACATTTCATATATTAATGGTTTGGTGATGATGAACTTCTTTAGTTTTTCCTTGTCTGGAAAGCTCTTTATCTGCCCTTTGATTCTGAATGATAGCTTTATTGGGTAGAGCAGTCTTGGTAGGTCCCTGCTTTTCATGACTGATTATTTCTTGCCAGTCCCTTCTAGTCTGCAAAGTTTCTTTTGAGAAATCAACCGACAGTATTATAGGAATTCCTGTCAGTAGATAACTGCTTTTTTCATGCTTCCTTTAAGATTCTCTTTATCTTTAAGCTTTGGCATTTTAATTATGACATGTCTTAAAGTGGGCCTCTTTGTATCTCTCATAATTGGGATTCTCTGTACTTTCTGAACTTGCATGTCTATTTCCCTCATCAAATTAGGGAAGTTTTCTTTCATTATTTTTTCAAATAGATTTTCAGTTTCTGGCTTTTTTTCTTTTTGGCACTCTGATGATGTGAATGTTGGCTGCTTACACTATCCTTGTTTTTGTAAATTCTTTTTTCTTTGTATTGTTCTTAGTGGCTGTTTTTTGCTTCCTTATGTTCCAAACCACTGATTTGATTCTCAGCTTCATCTACTCTACTATTATGTCCCTATAAATTGTTCTTTGTTTCAGTTAGTGTATCCTTTGTTTCTGACAGGATATTTTTTATGCTACTGAGATCCTCACTAAGTTCCTTGAGCATCCTTGAAGCTAGTGTTTTGAACTCTGCATCTAGTAGCTTGCTTATTTCCAATTTGTTTAGTTCTTTTTCTAGAATTTTGTTCTGTTCTGTTCTTTCATTTCAGCCATGTTTCTTTGTCTCCTCATTTTGGCAGCCTACTGTGTTTGTTTCTGTGTAAATACTAAGTAGAGCTGCTATGTCTCCCAGGGTCGGTAGAATGTCCTAATATAGTAGGTATCCAGTGGTATAGCCTCCTCTATTAGGGTATTCAAGGTGTGCATACCATGTGGGCTGTGTACACCCTCCTCTTGTAGTTGAGCATTGAATGATGTTGGCATGTCCAAGGTCAGTCACCACCTGTGTTGTGTCCAGGGTCACACAGCATAAGCTACAAAGCAATTTGCAGGAGCTGCTACTGGTATTGGGCTTGGAGGTGCCCAGGCAAGGCCAAGGTATGAACCATGGCTGGCTGCTTCTACTGGTGGGCTTGGGGCAACTTAACAAGAGGCATAGGGGCTTGCTGAAGCCAGATGCTGCTTGTTTGAGATAATTAAGGAAAATCTGAAGCATGGGTGAAGACAAACCATTTATGTGGAAAGGCCACTGGAAGCAGCTTGGGTGAGTCCAAAAGTTGGGTGGGGCAGTGCCTGAGGGAATCACCAGAGTGGGACAAGTAGTGTGAGCCAGGTTGATGGTCTCTTACATGTTGCCCACCAGCCAGCTCTGTGAGTTTGTGGTGGGAGGCTCAGAGAAGGAACCGTGGCCTCTGCTAGCACTTCTGTCTGGGAGAAAGCTGCCCTCCCAGCTCTTGCCCTGATGCCAGACAATTCATTTCCTCCCTGTATGTCTCAGGTGTTTTTCAATCTGCTTCCACAGTGCCGAAGCTCAGAGAGTTATTCCGAGTAAATCTGTGCATGGGCCCTTTAAAAGGAACTGCCAGGGAGTCCATAGTATACGTCTTCCACAGCCTCAATCCCCACTGTTTTTTGCTGCCAGAAGTTACGGCGACTTCACTTCCTGGCACTGGATCCTTGGCCTAGGCAGCCTGGTGTTGGGCTGGGACCCTTCGCTCTTTAAATATCCCTTCCTATTTTTATCTGCCACATGTGTGTATGGGACCAACCTGTTCCATGTCTCCACTCTCCGACCAGTCACAGTGTAGTTTCTTTTCTTTTCTAACTCTGTAGTTGTAGGAGTTCCATTCAGCTCAATTTCTGATGGTTCTAAATGGTGGTGGTTCTATAGTTTAGTTGTAAGTTTGATGTGGTTATGTGAGGAAAGGAACCATGTTTACCTGTGCCAACATCTTGACCAGAAATCTCCACAATTAACTTTCAAAAGTACACATTTGATGGTGTATAATATTCTGACTAAAAAACCTTCGGTGATTTCCATCATCTGTCCTCATAAAGCCTGAACATTTCATCTTCTTTCATGCAGCCTTCCCTTATGCCATTTCTCTCTTGCTAAAATACCTTTTCTTGCCCCTTTCTTTTTACTTCTAGAGATAAGCTCAAAGAAACCTAGAAGCTTTTTCTGCCACTCTCCGACTCCTGTCCCTGATAGTCATGCCTTCCTCTCCAATTGCTGTCACTTTGTCCTTAACCTCCTATTGCATTTCTGTTGGATAGTACTGTTTGGCTCCCCATCTGCACACTGACTTGTAACATGGTTCACCATTCCTCCCAAGGTTTTGGAGGCAAAAACCCAATTTTTACAGTTTTTGATGGTAAAAATTTTGGTGCTCACAGCGCATAAAGGAGTCTTCTGGAAATTATCCCTAGGATTTTCTTGAAGTATTTGTTATTTAATATTACATAGGAAAGAAACTTTTTGAAGCCCCATTTTATTTAGCAGGTCATCTATTTTATTGTGGAAACAATTTGAATGGATGTTCTTACAGGTCTAGTTCTGGCAGTATTAGATACTGTTGGATATGCAAGTTTGGATACTGGTCTTACATCTGCGAGGAGAAAGAATTTAGAATTCTCAGGATGGTCTTTTTTAAATTGGAGGACATGTAAGAAACCATACATAACTTTCTACATTTATATGTGAAGTTTTGCTGTATTACATTTGCTTCACACAGAATGAAAACTTAATTTTTCTGCTGTTATGATTCAGCATTCCACTGACTCTTGTGTCTGATGTTTAAGTATTTGCTGTTTCCTTTGCTGGCAGGTGAGATGTCCCATCATGACATTTTAGATGCAGCTTCCCAAGGAATAAATGTTATCCTCTGTGAACACAGCAACACTGAACGAGGCTTTCTTTCTGATCTTCAGGATATGCTAAGTGCTCATTTGAAGAACAAGATTAATATTATCCTGTCAGAAATAGACAGGGATCCTCTTCAGGTGGTATAATGCATACAGGAACAGAGTGACAGTCAACAAATCATTTTGCTCCTAATTCAAATGCACAACACGAATCAATAGTTTGTATCCTTCTGGAAGAACATTTTAGAATATATATTGTCATATCTGGTTTGTTATTCTTCACCAAATGTTCTGTTGTTTTTAGGGTAAAAATTGTAATGTAACTGTCATTAAAATACAAATATTCATTATGAAGAACAAAATAAAGGATTTGCTCATATACTGATATGCCAGGGATTTGGAGAAAGCAGCCCAGGAGTTCCAGGTAGATGGAGACAGGGGTAGAAATGCTTCACTTCCTTGTACAACCAAAAGAACAACAACAACAACAAATTTAAAAACAAACACAACCAGTACTGCCATATACCCACATTTCATGGAAGTCCAACAACTAAGGAGTTAAAGAAACATTCAGTCATACTGGTAGAAGGGGCAGAGATGGGCAACTGGGGTGGAGAGGAGGCACAGCCAAGGAAGTGGCTGGTGGACGAGTTGGTCCCACTTTCATGGGCTGATAAACTGGGAAGAACCAGTTTATCTGTCTGCGGGAAGCAAGACAGACCGCAGAACCCAGGGTTTCAGCATGGGAAACTAAAGACTCAAAACCTCTGGATGTAGTGGCAGTGGGAAAAATTCTCAGGATCACAGGAGAGTCGATGGGAGAGGCCCATAGGATCCTAGAACACATACAAACCTACCCATCTGCTAATCAGCATCTGAAATGCCACAGTCCATCTGTGTGAAGTGAGGGAAGTGAAGGAAAGTAGGGCTAGAGCAGAGCCAGCAAGCGGCATTGACCCTTCCTTCCGTGCAGCAAAGGGTTGCCCCATGCTGTTGAATACCTAAGGCTCTGCCCATTACAACATAATAGGTGTGCCAAGACCAAGAAATATGACCCAAATGAAAGAACAGATCAAGACTCCAGAAAAAGAACTAAGCAACAAGGAGATAGCCAACCTATTTGATGCACAGTTCAAAACACTGCTAATCAGGATACTCACAGGAATTATTTTCAGTCACAAAATAAAGGCTATACAAAGTGAAATAAAGGACAATACACAGAGAACCAAAAGTGAAAGGAAATGGACTGAAACCAAAGATTTGAAACAAAATGAAACATCCAACCAGAACAGAATGAAGAAATAAGAATTCAAAAAAACGAGAGGCTGAGAAAGCCCTCGGACAACTTTAAACGCTCCAACATCTGAATTATAGGGGTGCCAGAAGAATAAGAGGAAGAGCAAGCAATTGAAGACTAACAAATAATGAAGGAAAACTTCTCCAACCTGACAAAGGACATAAACTTCCAGGAAGCCCAGAGTCCCAAAGAAATTGGACCCAAGCAGGAACACACCAAGACACATCATAATTAAGTTACCCAAGATTAAAGATAAGGAGAGAATCTTAGCAAGAAAAAAGACCATTACCTAGAAAGGAGTTCCCGTAAGGCTGTCAGCTGATTTCTCAAAAGAAACCTTACAGGCAAGAAGGGGCTGGAAGGAAGGATTTGAAGTCATGAAAGGGAAGGACCTACATCCAAGATTGCTCTATCCAGCAAAGCTATCACTTAGATTAGAAGGGCAGATAAAGTGCTTCCCAGATAATGTCAAGTTAAAGGAGTTTATCATCACCAAGCCCTTATTATATGAAATGTTAAAGGGACTTATCTAAGAAAAAGATGATCAAAAAGTAAACAGTAAAATGACAACAAACACAACTATCAACAACTGAACCTAAAAAACAATAAAAACTAGGCAAACTACAACAGGAACAAAATCACAGAAATAGAGAATACATAAGAGGATTATCAGTGGGGAAGGGAAGGGGGAGGATGGGTGGAAAAGGTGCAGGGAATAAGAATCATAATAGGTAGGTACAAAATAGGGAGGTTAAGAATAGTATAGGAAATGGAGAAGCCAAAGAACATATATAATAAACCCAATGGACATGAACTAAGTGGTTGAGGGAAATACGGGACAGTGGTGGAGTGCAGGGAGGAGGGGGATAAAGGGGAGAAAAATTGGGGGGGAATGAAACTCTAGTCAAGGATGACTAAAATCTGTTAACATTCTTGGGAAGTTCAAGTAATCCTCTTCTTAGCTTAATTATAGTAATGGGATGTGTCATTTTAGGCCCCTCTCCCTGTAGTTAGTTAAAATATACTTAAAAGATTTGGAATTGTGACATTCATTTGTAGGTAGTAACCTCTAGGAGGTGATATGGTTTGTATGTGTTTTCTTATTGTTAGATTAGTAACCTTCCCTTGAAATTTCAGAATCTGAGATCAGGATGTTTGTTTTTTTTACTTAATATACGCAATCATTTATATAACTTGTTTTAGTATTTTTGGGGGGGTAACTGATCTGTAGTTAGTAATATATAAGGATGATTGGCTCCTGAGTATTATTACTGATTATTTATACAATATTAATTTTGTGCCAAACACTCTACTAGATGCTTTATAAACATTTTCAATTCTTTATAAGCAGGGATACAGGTATTCCCATTTTTCGGGACTAACCAACAAACAGGTGGTCATCTCACCTCCCAGAATACAGAAAACATTCTGAACAGTGCTGCTGGCTCCATATTTGAATTAGCTGGGGAAAAATATAACTTCTAGAAGTGTTCTTTGTTTTTTTTGGGGGGGGCAATACGTATTGTTCATTTACTGTAAGTAGAATTCCCATTTTACAAACAAACATTTGTGGGAAGAGGTTCAAGGTTTCAGAATGTCTTTGGTGTGTATTTCTTGATATGAGAGGGGTAGAATTCCCCTGCTGGCCATCAAATGACATGCATTCTACTCCAGAATTAAATACTTACAAAACAAAGTATATATGAAGACACAGTACGTACAGGATAAGCCCCTAGTAACAATACATACCCTCCAATCTTATCAGACTACATTGTGCTTACTGTACTAAGTCCTGCCTCTCCCCCTCCCCCCCCCTTTTGTCATTGGAATCATATAAGCTCCTACTCAAATACTGCCATTTCAGGGAACAAAGTTTCATTTCGCCACTAAAAGAGTCTTCCCTGACTGTACTACTCTACAGTAATCTAGGCTCTGCCCTTTTTTCACATTTATCAAGCATTTGGTTTTAATCTTTGTGCTGCCTAGTACTGTTAATTAGCTTTTCAAAAAATTTTGACCAATCTTCCAATTAGATTGTAACCTCCTTAGTCAGATTCCTATATTGTTTTTCCTGTATTCCTCATGCACCTATGTAGTCGGTGCTCTACACGTCCTGTACTATCCTGAACACACCCGATCTCATCTGAAAAGCAACATGGTCAATCCGAATGTGACACATGTACATTTAGTGTTCCTTACACTCTTCTAGTCTATATTCTCTGTATAAACATGGAGTTTCTGCTAGCCCAATAAATTTGTTTTTGGTATCAGAATTTGTCAGCTGACTCTGTCCCAGCCACAGGACTGCAGTTGTTCATTTTATGGGAACTCAATTTCAGTATAAAACAATTTGAATCATCCTCATTTTTCTCAGAAAGTTCATCCATGATGCTCTTCCTTTTGCAAGTTCCTTTTCATCGAGTTTGCTCAGGTCCTTCTCAGGATCGATGATTGTTTTACCAAACTGTGCCCCAAGTAACCTCATAAAAAACTCAATAATGTGCCCTGGCTGGTGTAGCTCAGTGGATTGAGAGCGGGCCTGTGAACCAGAGGATCATGGTTCGATTCCTAGTCAGGGCACATGCCTGGGTTGCAGGCCAGGTCCCCAGTGGGGCCACATGAGAGGCAACCACACATTGATGTTTCCCTCTCCTTCCTTTCCCCTCTGTCTAAATAAATTTTTTTTAAAAACTCAATAATGTAGCTTAGTGGATTCAGCACGGGCCTGCAAACCAAATTTGGTAGCCAGTTCAATTCCCAGTCAGGGTAGGGTACATGCCTGGGTTGTGGGCCAGGCCCCCAGTAGGGGGTGTGCTAGAGGCAACCACACATTGATGTTTCTCTTTCCCCTGCTCTCCAAAAATAAAAATATTTTAAAAAGTAATTACTAGCTTTATCAGGGACACTTCCAGTAACTCTTGTGTCGGATTATTTAGCTGTTCAGCATGTCTTTCGTAATCTGAAAACTTTGAAGTTTCAGACAGGAGTGCTGGCGACTTTCCCCTACATTTCATTCTCATAGATCAAGAAAACAGCTGAAGGCCAGAACTAATTCCACATTTGTTGGCAGTGGACGTCATTCTCACATACACTTCATAGAAAAAATGAGAGGAAATCAGATGAAAATGTCACACAATGGCTTCCTGGACGTGGAAGTGGGGCAGACAGCTAGGCAAGCCGACTCCCACGCCAGCACGCTAGTGTCAGGGTCAAGCTGGGTGCCCACCTACAAGTTTTCTAAGTAACTTTTTTTATTAAAGCAAAATCTGTTAATCACTCCCCAAACTCACTGATCTTATATATGAAGGAATTCAGTCTTATGCTGAGTTTGTAGGATGTAAATGTCTGTGTTACATTCTCTGTGCCTTTTTCTTGACCTATTTACCATTTTATTAAGAGCAGCCAGAAAAATCTTTTAAGGTTTCAGGTCTGTTCAATCTTGTCAGAAGCAAGTAACAGCAGAAATCGGAGCCTTCGTAGTCAAACTCTGATAGAGCTTAAGGCACATTAATGCTGAAAAAAATAATGAGCATGTAATTCTACCAAAATCTATCAGATTTTTTGTAAGATGAACTCAAAATTTGAGGAATTTCAACATGTTTTTAATTTAAAAAAAATACTATAAATGAAAGATTCTACCCAAATTGGCTTTTTATTAATAGTAAAGACTATGGACACATACTGCTTACAAAAAGTATAGGCACAAAAATAAATTAGATACTTAAGGACAAATGTAAAGTTTGCACATTAAGTCATTAAAGATTTTGTATACTTTTTTTATAATTGTTATTTATAAACTAGATAGATTAAGCAAAAAAAAAAAGGCACAAACCAGCAAGTATATGCTAACATTTCTATTTTAAAAGGAAAAAAATATAGTCAGAAACTCTTACATGTGCAGACTACCTCTGGAAGATTAAACTATCAATGGTTGCCTGTGGGACTGGATCAGGAATAGGAAAGAAACTGCTTTTCACTGAAAAGCCTTTGGTACAATTTAAAATATTTTAGAGTTAATCATGTACAGAACTCTTAAATATTTTGATTAATAATTGTATTTAAGATTAAATCTTTAATATACAAATTTAACATAAAATTGATTAGTTATATGCTACAAATAAGAGACTTAAAAAGTCTTAAGAGTGAGTTTTAGGTGTACTTGATAGAGAAATCAAGATTAATTTAAAGCCAGCCATTAATATGCTACTTACCTGCATGTTATTCAAGACAAGAAAAATATGTCAATATACAAGAATAACTAAATTTTTATTTTCTTTTGAAAATAATGATTAAAATGTAATTCATAAATGTATTTCTCTAGCCTAGTTTGTGATTTGTATCATGAAGGTGATGGCACATTAACTGTTCTGAATATCATGTTTTATTATTTTTCATGTGCTTTCTAGGCTGGGTATACACCCCGTCTATATACATGCCATGTTTTTCCCACTATCCCAACTGAACAGTGTCATGCCTCCTCCCCTACCCCAGTATGTAGCCTAAATCCAAAAGGAGAAAGCTGGATCACCTACTTTTCCCCAATTTTACACCTTTTGTTAAGGCATTTCAGAAACAGAAATGATCTGCTTTCTCCATTTCACCAATCAGTTCCAACACAAAAAACAACAAATAAAGCAATTTCTGTGATGCCAATGTCTTTCTTTGTACTTCCACACTCTGGAACAAGCACATTTGGAAACAATCAGCTCCAGGAGTGTTAAAAGGCCCTCAAAAAACTAGGAGTAATATTATCTCTAGTATAAAAGAATTCAAAAACATTCAGTTCCAAAGAGTCCCTGAGCACACTGTTCATTCCAGCAAGAATCTCCAGTCCAGAGAGGTAATGAATGGAAGGCACATTTTCTCCTACTTGAGGACCACTGATAGCACAGTACTAGAGATGGTACACCAGCCAGGCTAAGCAAGGTTCTGATTCATGACATTCCCCCCTCCCAATTTTAAATCTTATACACTGGAAAAGGTCTGATGTTGGAAGTAAACACAACACTTGAGACTAAAGCAGTGGCAGCTGGAGTGTAACAACCTTTCCACAGAGTATCCAGAATTAAGGATAGCTTCAAGACTCCTCCTCTTCCTTTTCCAGGAAATCAGTCAATGTTCCATTGTCAATAGGAATTAATAAATATTCCACTCCATCAGTTCCCTAAAAGATATAATACCCTGGATGTTAGTCATTTGTAAGAGGTAAATTTGAATCCTATTGTAGGTTCAAAAAATGGACTTCATATTTTTATATATATAAGTATAAAGTTTAAGGGAAAAGGGCACACAGAAATATATCTTTAAATACATGGAGTTTATGGTTAAGCCACTTCATAATAGAAAGACTAGGGGGTGAATAAAGGGTTATTTACTTCATCCTCCTGCTCTTTCTAGATCTTACACCGTTGATTTCTGTTCTTTTATTTCCCTTTCAACTGAAACTTTTCCACTGGTTTTAAAAATACATTTCAGTATCTCCTAGTTTTAAGTAACCCGCACTAGACTCCTCATTCTTTTCCAGTTATCACCCCCACTCTGCAGCTTTCCAGAAGAGGCTGGTAGTCTCCGTCTCCTCACTCTTCCCTCAACCCAGGCCAACCCAGCTACTGCCACCGTGTTCATATACTCGAATGAGCTTTTGCTTAGACCAGTGATTTCTATTCATCTCACGGCACACATAATCACTAAAGTTCTGCGGCACACTAAAAAACATTTTTTGCTGATCTGACAAAAAAAAATAGATACAGTTTTGAATCATTCACACCTGATGTCTATCGTTGTATTGGCAGTTGTCATTTTTTTTTTTGGCTATCTGAGGGAAAAAAGGCCATGCCCAACTAAGTAGTCAGATACGGCACTGATTGCAAACCACTGGCTTATCTCCAAGGAATTCCATAAATCCAATAGGTATTTTTAGTCCTCTTTTGTCATCTCAGCAGCACCTGACACTGCTAACCATTCTTTTTTTCTTAAAACATGCTTTTCTCGGCTTTTGTAATATCATAACCTGATTTTCTTCCTGACTCGGGCTGTTTCTCTCAGCTTGCAGGGTTATCTTTTACTTGGCCATTAAATGTCACACTTCCAGACTAGTTCCTGACCCTCTAATCTCACTATGTCTTTTCTCCAGGTAGTCCCACCAATGCCTGGTTTCAGCCACAACCTAAAAACATAGGAATCACAATCTTGTACGTCTAGCCCAGATCTTTCCTCTGCTTTCTTGTCCCAGGAATCCAATTCTCTAGTTGACATCTTCACTTGGAAATCTTGAAGGAACCTCAAACATATTAAGTCCAAACAAACCAAGATCATCAACTCATGATCTGTTTCCCCTAAAATGTTGCCTTCCCATTTCTCATCCAATGAGTCCACCATTTCTCTGGTTATGCAAGCCAGAAACCAGGAATTACTCAACACTCCCTTGGCTCCAATAGCCAATCTATCATCAGCTCCTGTCAATTTTGCCTCCTAAGTATGTATTGAATCCAAACACTTTTTTCCCTTCACCCTAGTCCAAGTTACCATCATCTTACCCAGACTACTGACACCGTCCTTACTGGTCCTGGTACACTGACTTTGGGCAATCCCTGTTCCACTCTGATGCCAGAGTCAGAACATTTTTTTTTTAATGTCTTCCCATTACTGTTAAATAAAGATTAAAATCTTTTCTCTGGCCCAAAAGTCATACATGGTCTAGTCCTCGGATGACTACTTTTTCAGGCTTATCTTATGCTATGCTGGCTGCCCTTTTCTTCCAGGGTCTCTACATGCTGTTCCTGCCTGCAATGCTCTTCTCCTTCCTGTCTGACTACTTGCAACTTAGTCTGCCTTCAGATCTCAGCTTGGGGTTTCTGATATCCACAATTAGGCTGAATCCAACTGTTTTAATACGCTCTTTCAGAAACATGTACCTTCTGATCATAGGGCTTGTCACAGTAAAACTATACATATGTCAGACTATTGAACACATCCATCTCCTCCACTAGAATTAAAGTTCTATAAGAAAAGTTTTTGTTACTACTATATCCTAATATTTAGTGCAATATAAAATATAAAGTTAGTGTCCAATAAAACTAGACCAGATTAATGAATGCGGTAGAATAAAGAGAGGGAGAAGGAAACAGAATGATTTGACTCAATATATTCCTAATGACCTATTACTCTAGATTACGAGTCTTAGGTTTTCTGCTTTGCTCTAAAAACCAAGTAGTTCTACCTTGTCTCTTGCTACAGAACTCAAATGGCACATTGACTAAATGGACCCTTGTGATCCATCATGGAACCTCAGTTTCATAATCAGATTTCAGTCAAAAGCTCACTTGTCCAAGATATGCTAGTCCTGGAATATAATGCCATAATAGCAAAGTCTCACCTTCTTGGTTCTTATAAGCTTGTGGTCCCTAAATTCAGTTAGTTGGGCCCGAAGTGTCAGATCACTATTGACGAGGAATGCCTCACGGCACTGCTGGTAGAAATCTTGAAAAGAAAATCCTGAAAATTCAAAAGGTTTGAACATAAGTCAGCATTTAAGACATGACCTGCATGTGGACACCCACACCAAAGAACACAGAAGAGTGCCGTGGCCACACTATTTTAAAGCAATGACTAAGTATTAATTTTTTTTTCTTGGTGTCTGTGACCAAATTTATCCCTGAGGCCCAGCAGGGGATCAGGGCCCATGAGTCACAGTGATTCTGTGGCAGCCTGCGGAGCCGGGGCCTGCCACGGGTGCGGCGGGCCCCGAATTTGACTCGGCTGCAGCTGATTTTTTTTTTAAAGTACCTCTGGAAAAGGCAAAACTAGAGAATACTGTGGCTTGTGTTTTTTAAACAAAACTGACTGGCTGAAAATAGTCAACTGCGATCAAGTTATTACATAACCCTGTGGGCAGTTTTAAATAAAACTGACTTTTAAAGAGGGAACTAGTAAGCCATAAGAGCTGAATGATTATTAAAATGTTTAAATTACATTATTTTTACTCAAAGGAGGAAAATCCGCTAAGATGCCCAATCTATGAAATATATGTAATTGATAGAAATATGTCCAGAATTAGCATAAGAAGTTTAAAAAGCAGGCTGGGGCTGCCTTTCAATTCACATCGACAAGCAGCTTGCTCAGCAGTGCATCTGTAGGGCTGTTAGAACATTTGCTATGCGGCACACACACTGACACAGAGCAGACCATTCATTCACGGCAGTGAAAAACTGCAGTGCTATTATTACATTCCAGAAAAAGGAACTTATATAGAGTGAAACAAAAGTCACACAATTTAATATCATAAATATTGGATACCAAGGTAAGAAGGGTTATCCTGGTTACCCAGCTGGTGCTTTATGAGCAGCCTGAAAATCCCCCTAAGGAAAAAAACAAACAAACAGGAATTAAAACCCAAAATGTTATTTTCAAAAGATAACAGCTGGTAGTAAAATACATGAAGAGAATGTGAAATACTTGGCTTGTCTATATTAGCTTCTGTTCCTTTCTCCAAGGAACATCATATACTGGCCTATATAAAAAGGAAAAGCTTTTGTTACTTCCTTTTAAGGAAAATCTAGGACTATTTTAAGTCAAAAGTTTAGCCCACTGTAGAAAACTTGGAATATATAATAAAACCTAATGAGGAAAATATCAATCCCAAAGCCCTGAAATAACCACTAGTATTTGATGCGGAGATATTTGTGTATACTGCTTCCTAAAACCTTTGTAGAATGAGATAGAATGGAAATACATAAATTCATGCATTTGGTCTAGAGGCTATTTTACACCTCACTGTTTCACCGATTTTGAATTATTTCTGTAGGAGAGAAGACCAAGTGGAATCATGGGGTGAGAGCAGTGCTATACAAACTAAGATTCCCAGGAGTCCTTGGCAGAGCAAACATTTTAAACCTGTTTTCATTTTTGTGAGAATCTACAAAATAATTACTATAAGCATGTTTTGGATTACCTAAATGACCACTTTATAATTTCTAAGTTGATCCTGGAACAATAAGGCACCAACCCCCCAAGCAGTTGAAAATCCATGCACAACTTTTCAGTACCCGGTGTCTGTCAGCATCCTCCGGCAGCCGGCTCCAGGACCCCTGCAGATACCACAGTCCAAGGATGCCTGTTGCCCTCATATGAAATGGGGTAGAACAATGGATAGAGTTGGTCCTCTGCGTCTGCAGATTTCTAACCATGAACTAAAAATACTGTTTTTGATCTGCAGTTGATGAATCCATGGACGTGAAACAAGGGGATACAGAGGGCTTACTATGTACTTATTGGAAAACACCTGAGTGTAAATAAGTGGACCCGTGCAGTTCAAACCCCTGTTGTTCAAGGGTCAATAGTACTGCCACTGACTCCACAGCTACATTTTGGTTAAGATTTTTGATCAATTACATTCATACTAAGTAAAGACGAAATAATATTGGAGTTTGCAGAATGAACCAAAATTTCATAGTACTTTAAATATATATTTTTAAAGTGTTGAAGGCTAGCACGCATTAAAGTATGCCCAACTAAAAATATTTGCTTTAGTGTAGTGTGTTTATTCTTGTATTTATATTGCACAGATCCCCAGCTTCATACATAGCAACTTGCAGTAGTCCATTAACTCTAAGCCTAATAGTAAAATTGAATAAAGATTTTTCTGTTCCTAATTCCATCAAAAATGAGTAAATACCCATTTAATACTTATTTCAGTATTAACCCAATGCTGATCTTATTTTGAGGAAACAAAAACAGCTTTATAAAGTAACAGGATTCATTAGCATTTGAAGGTTAATATAATGGAGACTTATAACGATACAGTTGAGTATCTTGATGCTGGCTGTAGCTGTGAAAAGCTACCCATGCTAAAACTGTGGAAGTAAACACACATGCATGTACACCCACTTAAACACAAATGAGAGCATGTATCAATGGTGAAATCTAAATAAGCTCTACGGATCAGGCCACTGTCAGTTTCCTGGTTTTCATACTGCTCTTTGGTGTGACAAGTCGGCCTGAGGGCCAGTTGGGAAAGAGGCGCTGGGACTTCGCTGTACATTTCTTTGCAGCCTCCTATAAATCTGTAATTATTTCAAAACAAAAAGTTTTTAAAAAGCAAAGAGAAACAAATAAATGGACAAGAAACTGCTAGCAATAAAAAATCTAAGATCTATTTGAAAGTTCCTGTGTACCCCAGTCTATTCCCCTTCCTTCTTTCCTAAGATCAGTACTATTCTAAACTAGGAATTTTTCATATCCACCTACATTTAAAAAATTTATTTATTATGTGTGTGCACACACATATATACGGGGTGGGCAAAAGGAGGTTTAGAATGGTTTCTATGGAAAATTTTATAATAATTAATACATAATAATGTTACCGAGGAGACCCGAGTCAGGGGGCTACCTCTACTTGGTTCTTATCTTGCTCGCAAGAGAGAATTCAGGTGAGACAGAAATATGTACAGTGGAAATAAAATAGCGAGTTTATTTATGAAACATATACAAGCACAAAGCTACAAGCAGGCGCCCAGCTAATCTGAATGTCCCACAGATAGAGAAAATAAAGTTGTTAGTAAGTTTGTTATCTATACAACTTGCCCTGGCTACAAGTGAGCACCTACCTAATCTGAGTGCACCAACTACTGGGATTCAGGGTTATATACTTTAGCCAGTTTCTAGGTTCCCCCTCCTCCTCTCCCTTCCAGACCTTGGGACAATTACAAAGGCTTTCTTTCCCAGCTAGTGGAGATGATACACACAGAATTTCAGGGGCTCCCCTCCTCCTGCACTATCATAATTTTGCATGTGATGTTTGGAACACCTGGCAATTTTATCAGGCCGGGCTCAGGACTCCTGGGTCAGCAGGTGACACATCACTCCCTTTTCTTTCTAGCATCAAGTTTTAAGTTCTCTATTAGATTGTAATGGCAGGGGCCCTGCTTTATTTCTCCTCTAGCCACTCAGTCCTAGCTGCTACCTAACAATAATATAATAAACTTTGTTTAGCATACTCACAACTGTAAACCTACTTACTTTTGCCCATCCTGTATGCATAAATTTGAACACTATATAATAAGTCCTATTTACACTGCTTTTTATATCTACCATCCTATCAGTTTAATATCTATCCTTAACAAAAATGTCTGAGGCTTGGACAATAAATGACATGTCACACTACTGTTACCCCACATAAGTCAATTCCTGGCTGCCAACGCTGCTTCTAGACCCAGGACACAGCCGGACTGTGGCTTCAACTCTCTCACTGCTTTATGATTCTGTCCCATGGAGACATTCATATTTTCCAGTGAGGCTCTATCTTTTACTTTTGTTATTTTATATTTAATCTACTATGCAGTGTGTTTGGCCCAAGTGGAGATGAATTCATTAAAGTGTGAAAGTATTGTGCCATCTTGTATACAAGGGTCCCTTTATTGCTCTTTTAAAAATTTTTTAAATTTTTCCATTATATTCAGTATTATTCTGTATTAGTTTCCGGTGTATAGTGAAGTGGTTAGAAAATCAGGTGTGTTACACAGTGGTCTTCCCCTGCTTCAACTACCCACCTGGCCCCATACTACGTTATCACAATATTAATGATTATATTACCTATGCTGTAATCTTCATATATGGGACTATCCTGTCACTTCCCTCATTACACTTTAAAGAAAAAAAATAGGCTTTGTTAGTCTCACCTGCTTAGCTAGTATCACCTGCTTATTCCTAGATTTTAATTTCAAGCACAGAAATCACTTAAAATTTGATTAATTTATAGATCTAATACATTTCTAACTTGAAAAAAAATTGCTGCCTTTATAACAGTCATTCCACTCATCCAAGAACATAATATTTATTTATTCAAATTTTAATTATCTATTCTCAACATTTGCTTAAAAATAGTTCTAGGACTCTATGGTTTAGGGGTAGGTTGCTACTAAAAGCCTCTTTCAACAGCTTAATTTTCTTACAAATTTTTTTTGTGGCTTATGCTACATCCATCTTTTCTTAGATTGTATAAATTCAGATATACCTCTTGGTTAGGCCGCTGAACTTACTTCACTGGAGACATCATAAAAGGTATTTGAAAGCATGAGCTGTAGAGCCAGGCAGATGTGAATCACAATCTCTGTGCCCTTTACTACAATATCTACCTCAGAGTGGTAGTTATGAAAATCAAACGAACTATTTCACGTAAAGGAACCTGTGTTTGAATCATAATATTCATGCATCATTAAAAATAACCCTTAAATTTAAGTCCATCAAAATTCTTCCACAATGACTGCTAACATGCACTTATTCAGAAACACAAAAAATTTATTGTGAAAAAAAATGTTGTAATTCCTGCTTATTATTGGGCAATTTGATAGATGACTACCACTGAGCAGTCTGACTAATTACATAATTACAGTACTAGCAACTATTATGACTACTATTCTCTTAATCCTTCAGACTAAGCAGAAACTTTAGTATTGCCATTAAACATAATAGTACATGTCTTTAAATGTGTAGATTTAAAAAAAAAGAAACAATAATTTTCATTCTTACCTTGCATTAGGGGTAAGGCTTCCTAAGACATGAGTCAGGGAACTAAGCGTCAGTGATCCAGACTGTTTAACGAGAAGAGAATTCTCATAGGAGGTTTCTTCAGTATAAGGACTATATGTAGTAGTTTCATACCAGAGCCAGTTATAAAGACTCTTCTTTACATGATCCCACACTAGAGCACATGATCAAAGAAATAAAAAATTACTAATTTTCATATTGTCATGTTACTAAATTTCAT